TCTTCTCGCTGTGCTACTTCCATGCGGTCGTCGCGGAGCGGCGCAAGTTCGGACCGCAGGGCTGGAACCGCGGCTATCCCTTCAATGTGGGCGACCTGACCATCTCCGTTTATGTGCTGTACAATTATCTGGAGGCCAACACGCGTGTGCCGTGGGAGGATCTGCGCTACCTGTTCGGCGAGATCATGTACGGCGGCCACATCACCGACGACTGGGACAGACGGCTGTGCCGCACCTATCTGGAGGAGTTCATGCAGCCGGAGCTGATCGACGGCGAGCTGGAGTACTGTCCGGGCTTCCCGGCGCCGGGCATCCTCAAGTATGCCGGCTACCATCAGTACATCGATGACAATCTGCCCTGGGAGAGTCCAGCGCTGTACGGGCTGCACTCGAACGCAGAGATTGGATTCCTCACCACCGTCTCGGAGCGGCTGTTCCGCATTGTGTTCGAGCTGCAGCCGCGCATGTCCAGCGGCGGCAGCGGCGGCGGCGAGTCCGTCTCGCAGGAGGACATCACCAAGGGCATCATTGAGGATCTGCTGGACAAGATACCGACACCGTTCAACATCCTGGAGCTGATGGGTCGCGTCGAGGATCGCAATCCGTACATAATTGTCGCCTTCCAGGAGTGCGAACGGATGAACATGCTGATGGCCGAGCTGCGTCGCTCCCTCAACGAGATCGATTTGGGGCTGAAGGGCGAACTGACGATCTCGTCGCTGATGGAGGATCTCATGCTGTGCCTGTACATGGATCAGGTGCCCGAGCAGTGGACCAAGCTGGCCTATCCCAGTCTGCTGGGCCTTCAGTCCTGGTTCTCCGATCTCATGCTGCGTCTGCGCGAGCTGGAGGGTTGGGTGGCCGACTTTCGGCTGCCCTCATCCATTTGGCTGGCGGGCTTCTTTAATCCCCAGTCCCTGCTGACGGCCATTATGCAGCAGACGGCGCGCAAGAACGAGTGGCCACTGGATCGCATGTGTCTCAATTGTGATGTGACCAAGAAATTTAAGGAGGAGTTTACGTAAGCGAAGCGACACGAAGCGACATGAATCGAGGGTATCAATCAATTATCTGTCTGTCTGTCCACAGCTCTGCTCCACGCGAAGGTGCCTATGTGAATGGCCTGTTCATGGAGGGTGCCCGATGGGACATGAAAATGGGCACCATCACCGATGCCTTCAACAAGGAGCTGTTCCCCGCCATGCCCGTCATTTACATCAAGGCCGTCACCCAGGACAAGCAGGAAGTCAAGAATATCTACGAATGTCCAGTCTATAAAATTCGGTATGTACCTCTCTAACCACAAGCCTGCTCCTCGCTCCCCCCCCCCCCCCTCCCATTTCAATCCACACACTGCTGTTCACTGCTCAGTGTCCATCTCTAATCGCCGCCGGATGTCCGCATTGAAATTTGCCTGCCATTGTTTTTGTCCGAACTCTCGTTATATTTGTCGGGGGCGGGGGTAGGGGGGTTGGCCAGGGACCGGGGGATTCTTTTTTGTTTGCAGAGAAAGCTTTGTTGTTGTCAGCATTCGCATTCGCTTTAAATTTCCTCATCCACTCGAACTAACATCCTTCCGCTGACTTGTCGTCATGGTTGCTCATTCATGGCCATTTTCGCAGTGTCTGCGTCCCTTTTCGGGGAAGGGAGGGCAGGGCGCTTCACTCTGCTTCTGCCGTTCAATCGTCAATCGTCAGCAGCATGGGCCGCCTGTCCGTTTGTCAATCAATTGTGAATTGTTTATTGAATGTTGTCGTTGGACTGCACACAATGCCACCAACAGTCCCCCCGCCCCGCCGTCCAGTTCAGTTGTCAGGAGTTGGCTTTGGCTTCGTTTGGTTTTTCCTTTCTGGCCATCATCATTTCTAGTTTTTTTTCTTCTTCTTTTTGTTTCAACTTTTGGCAGCGGGGGGCTGGGGAACGGACCAGCTACTAACATTGTTTACACTGTCAAACGCTCTATTTTCTATTTAGCTTTTTGTGCAGATACATTGGGAGTGTGGGGGCGGGGAGGGTTGTGGGTAGGTTTGTCTGCCTTTCTATTTGTGCGCTGATCGATTTGTTGTGCCAGCCCAGTGCCAGGCCATGGGGTGTATTGGGCCTTTCACTGAGTGATTTGGCTGAGAGTGGAGTTCGAGTACCCTATTCAGGGCGGGTGCATTGAACAGATGATGTTAAAGAAGGATTTAATCTACACCAGAGTACATGCCAAGCTGGGAAGTTCAATGAGGAATTACCCTTCTCTTTCTCTTTTCTTTTGCAAGGGTATCAAAACCCTCGACACGTGTGGCCATCGTTTCTTTTACTTCTTAAATAGATACTGACTGACTGACTGACTGCATGCCCAAATGCTCTCATAAATTTTCTCCAAATGGAAATGTTCTTTGTTCGTAATGAAATAGTGTTGACTTTTCTCACACACACACACACACACACACAGAGAGACAGTCATTGAATCGCGAGTCCTTAACAAATGCACGAGATTGCTTTTAAACGAGAGCGACGCCATGCAGTCTGCTGCCCAGCCTCGCCGGCCTCTCTTCAGTCGCCCATGTGATGATTTGTTCGCACATAATGAAACTCATCAGCAGCTACGAGTAAGAGTGCGAGTGCGAGTATATCCAGGCAGGCTGTCGGGAGTCAGGGCTAAAGGGTTCCATCCATAAAGTACTACAAGTTGTGCGCCCAGCGACCAGCGCCCAGCGATGCAGCCAAGATCGACGCTTGGCATAAATTCAAAAAGTCCCACCAGCAGCAACAGCAGCAGCACGACTGCCACTTTCAGGGGGGCAAAAGCATAGTAAAAGCATTTTACAGTTTCATTTTTCATGGCTCAGTGCCGTTGCCCGATGTCCGCTGTCCGCTGTTCGTTGTCCACTGTCCGCTAGCTGCCTGCTGTCCCCAGTTCGGCTTTTGTGCGATTTACTTAATTTGAAGTGTGCCAGGGCTAGGGCCGTGGCCGTGGCTGGGGGTTGGCGGGGCCGGAGCCGGAGCCATCGAGCAATTCCTTTTAAAATCAATTTGAGGTTTATTTTTCTTGGGCTTTCTTGTGGCTGGGGCCTGGGCCCACCATCGATTCCATTTGGCTTCCTTCGTTTTCTTTTCAATGTTTGACTTGGACTGTCACACTATTTATGCACATCCTTACAACCTTACATCCTTGCAGACTCCGTGGACCCACTTACGTTTGGACATTTAATCTGAAGAGCCGAGAGAAGGCCAGCAAATGGACCCTGGCCGGCGTTTGTCTGCTGCTGCAGACCTAAGAGCAGTCCCAACTAGCAGCAGCAGCAGCAGGCCTATTCCCCCGGCAAAGTAAACTATGTAAAATAATCTGTGTTATTGTTAAATTATATTTCTATATATTAAATTGATGGATCAAATGTGTCTGTGGCTGTGTGTGTGGCAGCATCAGCAGCAGCTTTGTCTGCCTCGGATCACGGGTATGAGTAAGTTTTAAGCTGAGGGCAAACAGCTTGTGCAAATTCATTAACAACAGAGCAAGCCCCAGCCCCAGCCCCAGCCCTGCCCTCATTCCATCGCAGCACAGATTTACCCCGCCACAGAGGGAAACCCGCAACTGTTGCGGCTGCCTGTGCAAAATGAGGGCAATGCATTTGTCCCGAGGGTTACCCAGCGACAGCGAGAGAGCGAGCGAGAGTTGCCCAAACCAAAAGCAGCGGGCTGACAAGCACTTGTTTTTGATGTGACGCTGATATTTAAAAGTGGAGTTCACATCAAAGTTACACAACGAACGACGGGACGGTCCGTCGTCATACTCATCATCAGCAACAGCAGCAGGAGCAGCAGCAGCAGCTGGCCACCACACAACTGGGGTTTACGTGGGTTCGTATATTTTGTTGGGTGCCCAAACTAGCAGCAGTATAAAGGTTTTTGCATGAGCGCCGGATGGCAGGACAAGCTTCCAAATTGTGTCAAACTCTTTGGCGGAGAGAGCGCAGCTGCTCAAGGCTTGCGGCAGGGCATCTTTTGGGTCGGTTCAAGTGCCATCTGGGGCAAGTGTGTTCCTGCCTGCCTGCCTGTTTTCATGTGCAGTACTTGCAGTAATTGCGCAGCATTTTAACTGTGATGCACTCAGAGCCTGCTGCTGCCACTGGCTTTGTTGCTTTGTTGCTGCTCCTCTTACTTGACACATGTCTGTCAGTCACTCAAAGCGCTTGAGAGAGAGGCAGCTGGGATTCCGGATTTGGATCGGCAACTGAGATTGAGCTGGGTTGAGCTGGGTGTAGATGTACGGAGTAGATGCCATAAATTTAAGTTAATGCACACAAGAGAGTGGATGGGGCACTTAAACTGTCAGCCATGAGGCCCAACTTTCGATTAAGCATACGCCATGATGTACGCTGGCAGGCCAACTACTATCGGGGCGGGGCTCATCATTTACATGGGAACTTAGCAGTAGGAGTAGGGGAGCCATTACCCAGTACTGCCCTCCCCTCTCACGTTCCGTCCGGTCGAATGCTGATGTTGACTTATGAGCACAAAACTTGCCAGCAGCAAAAAACGGAAATTACATTTCGCTCACTTCGTGTGCAATTAAAGTCGAGCGTGGGGTGTGGAGAGGGGGTGGTGGGGTGGCTCAGAAAACTTTTCCCTGCTGCAACTGGGATTTTGCCTGCTGCATTTGCATTTGAAAACGCCGCCGCGGCACACACTTTAAAGTGTTTCTGTTAATTCGAATTTGAAGTTTGATCGATATGTGGGGCGTGGATGGCTGGTTGCGGCTATCGCCCAATGGCCGCCACCTGGCCCGCCAACAACCCACCCGCCCAGCGGATTCCAACTCGGCATTAGAGGTCACACGGAGCGGCTCTGGAGCACCCCAGTCATTTAGACGCCACACGCCGCGGCGAGCTGTTTGATTTTCTGCATCCGCACGTCCGGGCATTTCCAAACTCCGACAAACCAACCAACCAACCAGCCAGCCGACCAACCGATGTCCGATGCGGCCGGGCTGGTCAGCAGCGATGAGGAAGGCGGCCTCCTGGCCAACGGCGGCACAATGGGCGAGGATGGGCTGCTGCTGCCGCCGCGTGCACAGCGAGACTACAGCGATGCCCGCTTGGAGCGTGTGGCCGCCTACACAACGACCACAATGCGCCTCAAACCGGATAAATGGACCAAAATGATGGCCAGCGATGAGCTGCGGGTGAGCGTACAATTTCCTTTGTGTGTGTGTGTGTGTGTTATCCATCCATCCATTTGGTATACGCAACCGCAGCGCACTGTCATGGACTGGCTGCACGGACCCACACGCGTCCTGGTCATGACGCTCAGTCCGGGCGGCGATCTGGTGCCCAGGAGCTGCCTGAGTGACTTGTACCATCATTATACGCTCCATCAGAGCTCCTCCATCGCCGCTGCAGCATCCTCCTCCTCCGCCGCTTTGGGTACGCTGCAAGATGATGCCCTGGCCACGGCAGCGGCAGCGGCAGCTGTGTCTGTGTCTGCGGTGGTGGCCGCCGTCGCACCAGGCGCTCTCCTCATGCCACTGCCGCCAGCCTGCTCCAGCTTCACCACGCTGGACGGTGTGCCACGCGGCAAGTGCGCCTACTTTATACGCCGCAACAGTGCGGCCGATGCACCGCTAACAGCGGCCAATTTCCCATCCCACGTGCTCTACGGCGACTTTCCGGTGCACAGCAAAATCGAGACAATGTCGCTGCTGTTCGATGAGGTGGTGCAGCCGCTGCTGGAGAAGTCCCAGACCGAGTGGCCGCCGATTGTGTGGAAGGATCTGCAGGCGCGCATAAAGGATGTCCGCAACACACTCACCGAGGTAAGTGAGGGAAAAGTCTAGAGAAAGAAGGCAGCTCCGTTGCTCCCGCCCCCAGTTGCCACAGCTGTGTTATCTCATCAAATTAATCTAATTGAGTGCAGTGGGGCAGAGTACGGGGGGCGGCGGAGCTTGCTCTTAGACGCCACTCCACTCCATTCCATTCCCGGGCATTGTCTTGAAAGTATTTCGCTTAATTGGCAAAACTTTTCATGTGTCTATAGGCAATACATACAAAATACATACAGATACACACAGATATACACAGATATATGTGTATATGTATATATGGTACATATATACTTTATTGTTATACCCCCACAGATTAAGGGGAAAACCAACAATCGCACAATTTTATCGTTATTAGTTTCGCCAACAATCGTCGAGGAAGTGTTTGCCCACGTGAACCAAGGGTAAGTTCAGAGCCCATTCAATGGCCATTGTCGTTGTCTTTGTCTGCAAGGAGAGGGTTCCCCCTGCCCCCTCTTTAACTACCATTCCGGAGTTGTTCTTGGCTTGGAAATGTCGCCCCTACAGCGATGTTTTATTGTTTATACTAGAGACAGAGCGACAGAGAGAGAGAGAGCAAAGGTTTATTGAATTGAATTTCATTGGAATAACTTTTCGCATGAATTGCTGCAAATTTATTTGATTAGCAATATTCCAAGAGTTTTCAAGAGTGCTCGCATTTAACCCTTTGGCACCACACACAAACACAACACAGAGCGCAGTTATTTTATTTATTTATTTATTAATATATATGTATGTACAAAGTTATGTAGCTAGGACTCGTACTAGTAGGCAGATGAAGCCTTAGCTTTTAGAGTAATTTTGATCACCTCACGATAGCCGACTGGTTTGCCTTTAGTTCAGTAAAAAGGCTTTTAATTAAATTACAATTTACAATTTAAGCAAAAGAAACAAACCCATGGCCAATCAAGGCACTGAAACGGGGCAAGGCAATTTCCAGGAATTTTAACTTGCATTCTCGCAAGCTTTGTGCCAGCCAACTCTAGCTATCAACAGAAAGAGGCTCTTTAGTTAGTGAAAAATATACATATATACGTATATATATCAAGTGGTAGCCAATCAATGGGCCAAGCCAAATGCTCGAATTACTTAAAACTCAATAAGCAATAAACCAGAAGCCAGAAACCAGGCGAAGAGCCAGAGCCAACTGAATACGAAAATAAACAATAAAATCAAATTGATTGCGATCAAATTTATATTAAAAAAATTGCATTCTAAAGAGAATGATAAAACCAGCAGAGGCAGAAGAAAGAAAACCCTAAAAGCAAAACCCAAACTGGCCAAGCCAAGTGCAAATTTGTTTTCAATTGGGTCAATATAAATGTTTTTGCTCATTAAAAAAGTTTACCCCCCATTTGGCCAGAAAGTTGTGCAGCTTTCAAATGGGAAAATTCCAAATGAAAACTGAAATTGTTGCCCCCCTACGTTGTTCATCCCTTTGGCAGGGATTTGCTGCCCGCCTTGGCACCAAAGTTTCGCAATCTGCTGGAGGAGATGTTCATCAATTGGACCACCCAAATGCATGACATTGTCATGGAGCGTTCCGAGTGCCAGGCCATTGGCATGGCCACCTCAATCCCTGGCCCTGGCCCAGGCCCAGGCCCAGCCCAGGCGAAGCACATCACTGTGGTGGCCATGCCGGCGCAGGAGATTGGCTTCTGGACCAACCGTAAGCTCAATCTGCAGAACATCTACGAGCAGCTGCGCGAGGCGACACACAAGACCCTCGCCCAGATCCTGGAGCGCATCGAGTCCGTCTACCATCAGTCGTATGCGAAGGCATTTCGTCAGCTGGTCGCCGCTTGGGTGGAGGCCCGGGATGTGTCGCTGTGGCTGCAGCCGCTGCTGCGGCAGACATCCGCCTTTAATTCGGTGCAGTTTAGCAATGGCCACGAGCTGATTGCCCCGCTCGTCCATGTGCTGCACCTGGTGTGGAGCAATGCCCGCTACTATCGCAGCACCCAGCGCATGAGTGTCCTGCTGCGTTGCATCTGCAACATGCTGGTGCATCGCGCCGCCGAGGACCTGGAGTTTCCACTGCTTTTCCAGGGCGACGCTGACGAGGGCCTGCTGCGCATCAATCGCACCAGCGAGGTCTTGGAGTTTTTCAAGTGAGCATCGAGCATCGAGCATCTGTCGGGTGAATTTTCCGTTAGCATTTTCGCCATTTTCGCACAGGCAACGCATGCTGCAGTACAAGGAGCGATATGGCAGCAGTCAAGTGCTATTGCCAGCGCTTCCTGGTGCCGGCGGCAGCAGCAGGGGCGACTCGCCAACGCCCGATGACTTGCAGCAGTTGTGGCGCTTCTGCAACGAGGATGTGTTTGGCCAAACACTCGATGGCTTCCTGGCCCAGTTGTCGGAGCTGCGGCAGGTGTTCGAGGCGGCGGTACAGTTCCAGCAACTGGAGAAGCTTGAAATTGGCGGGCTGCGTGGCAAAATGCTCACCCAGCGCATCAGAGAGGTAAGACAACCCTCCTCAATTACGTGTAGTGGGGCTGCATCATTTAACCCCCCCATTGCCCATTGCCCACTCTAAAGTTATTCAACGAGTTCAAAGCGCTCTTCGAGCAGTGGAGCAACGTGGACATCGATCTCACAGCCAGCAAATGGAGGTGCTTCAAGCGCGAACAGACTCGCTTCTTTGGCCGCATGCAACGGCTGGAGCAGAAGCTGGCCACCGTGCTGCTGCAGGCCTTCGAGCAGTGCCACAGTTGGATGCACCTGCTGAAGCTGTCGCTGATGTTCGGCTGCCTGCTGCAGCGCTGTGCCGTGCAGCCGGAACTGGTGCGCATTCTGCCGCACATTCTGGCCATCTACGACGCGGAGCTGCAGCAGCTGGAGGCGAGTGTGGGCGAGGTGCTGCTCGGCTATGAGTTTCGCGGCCTCTCCGCCCTGCCCATGCCCTTCAATTTTCCGCCCATTGCGGGTGCCATGATGTGGCTGGAGCAGCACATCAACTGCTGCACGCAGCTGGGCGCCAAGGAGTTGACTCAGCTCATACAGAAATTGTAGGTATTCCAGGCAACTAAATGAGAGAGAGGATAGCAATCATCAATCGTCATCCCCTTGTCCAGGCTATTGGAGAAATCAGAGCTTCAGAGAATGCCACTCAAATGGGAGGCGCTGCTCTGCCGTCGCAACATACTGACCACCAAGCTGAGCAATCTGCAAATGAAGATCTGGACCACATGGCAGCAGGGCATCGACAAGCTCATCCGCCAGGGACTCGATGAAGCGGTCATCGCCCAATCGCAAGGCGACAGACAGCTGCATCTGAACTTCTCGCTGGCATTGTTCACCCTACTGAGGGAGACAAAGTATTTGTTGGCTCTGCAGGCGACTGGCTGCCTGTCCGGCGATCTCTTTCAGCTGCCGCAGGAGCTGCTCGCGCTGTACGCGCAGCGGGATGCGTACTGGGAGCGACGCATACGCCTCATCAAGATTGGTGAGTTCTACAATGGCATCCGGACGGGCGAGTGTGCCGCCGCCGAGCTGCAGCTGATACGCAACGAACTGGCGGCCATCGATGAGCAGGTGGCCGTGGCCTGTGACCAGTTGACTTGGCGTTGCTATGGTGAGTATTTTTCCAAAGAGAAGCAGCCATAACCAAGCGTAATCCCTGCCTTCCCTCAGATGAGCCGCTTATAGCCGGCATTTTTGAGCAGAGTCGCGACCTGTTTGCCCGTCTGCAGCAATCGCATGAGAATCTGGATGCCATTCTGGCGAGCATGCGGCGCTGGAGCCGTGAGCCGCTGCATCAGCGTAGTCTGTACGGCAGAAATCTGTTGGATTTGCGGCACCAGCAGGAGCGTGTGCGTCTGCGGCTGCTGCAATGCGATGAGACCAAAATGTTGCTCAATCGCCTGCTGATAGCAAACTTTTGTCTATTCTTCAACTACGAATCGCAGCAGTTTCAGCTCTACTCACGAGATCTGAGTGTGCAGGAGGTGAGTACAGAGTCCCCTCCCCACAGTCGCATGCCACATGGCTGATGTGTGTGTGCGTGTGTCTTCTCAGTTTGTCAGGGAATTCCCCGAGGAGCAGCGGCGACAGTACAGCAAATATTTGGCCAGCGTTGATGAGTTGATTGCCCGCGAAGTGCGACAGGCCACGAGAATCAGGTTTCAAAAATAATATTAAATAATAATAACCAAAAAAAAGTGCATGCCACATATAATCATCGCCATTCATTCATTGTTAAGCCCTTCCACTTGCACAGCCAATAGCCAACAGCCAAGAGCCAAACAGGCAACAGCCGACAGGCAGCACCGGCAACAATTTCATTAATTTTCGACACGCTGCCAGCAGCAGCAACAGCAGCAGCAACTCCTTTCATGTCTCATCAAAACTAATCAAGTAAATGAGCACAAAATTGCACCAAAAAAAAAAAAAAAAAAAAAAAACCGCAAATACGAAAAGACACCTTTGCAGAGGCAACAGCAGCAACAAGCACCCAGCAACATGCAACATGTTACATATATGCTACATGCAACATGCAACAGCAACAACAACAACAAATTGCCAGCGTGGCAGCGCATTCATGCGTCAATTGCATGTTTCACTTAACGGCACTTTTCGTGATTGCATGCAGACGCCAGTCAAGCAGGCGGGAGGGGTGTGTGGCAGCAGCAGCAACAACAAAACAAACTGAAGACTAAATTTAATTTTCACATTACTCATTCACATACGCCGTGTAATTCAGTTTAGAGTATTTGTACAAAGAAATGACAGCAACAGCAACAGCAGCAGCAGCAGCGAAGACTCCACCGTTGTCTGCGTCTGCGGCGGAGCCAGGGGCCACTTCACCGCCTCCGTCTCCAACTGAGACTCCGACACTGGCAGGGTTAGTTCTACAGCAAATCACAGTGCCACAAGCGACAGCAACCGCAACAACAGTCAACGATTCTCCACTCTTCGAAGTGAAATTGGAGCTGACGGAAACGGAAATACACTTTTCGCCAGCCCTTGATGCAAGTGTGGAAAATAATTTTCAACAAATTGTCGAGCAGCTGTTGCTCGATATAAAACAGACATGCGACTGCATGCCAAGAATTGTGCCTGACAATGCGCTGTCAGAGGATGATGATGATGATCCAAAGAGCCCTGGGGAGGACAAGCATCAGACGGTGCAGTTCAACCTGCTGCAGGCAGCCAAGGCTTATAGCCAAAAAATGGAATGCCATGGTACGTCCCGCCCTCTTACATGCTTTTCACATTTTCCAACATCAACTTTCCTCTCCCTCTCTCTCTCTCTCCTGCGCTTGCAGGCGATGACTTGGAGCTGCTGGAAAGGGCCATACGCGATGCTCTGGATGATACGGTTCGAGCCGCATTGACTTATGCTGCCAAATTCCACGCCTATGCATTCCTCTGGACCCAGCAGAGCGGCGATGTGCTGGCTGCTTGCATGCTGGCGGCCAAACAGCAGACACAGCATGTCAGCGACGCTGGCGGCTTTGCCATCATGGAGACATTCAAAAAAGAGGTAAGCCAAAGATCCCCACTGAAGCACCAAATGCCAAAGGACACACACACACAAAATCCCACTACGCAAGAGGCAAGAAAACATCTTTGTTGGTAAGCTTAAGAGGCGACAAAGCAGAAGGCCAGAAAGATGGAAAGAAAGACGGGACAGACGGCACGGACGACGGACGACTAGTGACTGAGTGGGTCGCTCAATTGGCAACCACACAATTTACGTTGTGTAACCCCTGAGACCAATAACGCTTGATAAATGTTGACCATTTAGGGTCAAATGTGTTGTGTTGTGTGTGTGTGTGCCACAGCCAAAATCTGTGCAGAAATAAACACCAAAAAAAAAAAAAAAAAAGAGCTGCTTGGGCCGCCACATGGCGTCGCTGCTGACTTATGCCTGGATTCCCTACTGGAACAGCAGGCAAATCGCCGACGTATGCGTAATATTTTCTTTAAACAATTATCAAACGCCCCGAAAAGCATGCAATAAATAACACAAAAGGCGCACCACACAGAGGGCATCCGCAGAGCCGCACAACACAATCGGGCAGAAGAACAACAAATCATGGTCAAAGTGCATGGACATGGACAGGGAAATGGGCGGGGCAAGGGCAAGGCGTGTGAAGTTGGGTCTTGCCCCCAAATAAAATGAGAGAGAACTTGCCCCGGCAAGCAGCGAAAGAACGAAGTCTGAATGGCCTAATGCCACAAAAAACATTTCATTTCATTTCCTTTTCAAAAATTAATGCCAAACACGTTTGGCCTTAACGCATCTAAATGGCTGTAATCCTTATGAGGGACATAAGCTGAACTGCAAAGGGGAATATCTGAACTGGAATATTTGCACTGGCTACGATTCAGTAAATGCCGCGAATTAAGTTGATTTCATATGAGAAAATTCAAGTAATGTAGGATTTTGGTTTTCTCCATGAAATCGATAGAATATTGTATCATCAGCATAGCAACAAGTACCATCACTAGCAACAGCTGATTTCAAAATATTTATTTTTTATTTTTATTTAATTATTCAACTTTAGTTTTTAAATTGAGTAAAGATCTAAAATAACTGAATACCATTCACGAGCTACCAAAAGCCAAGTTAATTCTAGAGTTTTCCTTAGACAACAAATCAGCTGATGGGCGTACCATAAGCAACAAGTGCCATCACTAGCAACAGCCGATTAGAAAAAATTTTCCTATAGGGCTTGCAATTCATTCAACTTTAGTTTTTAAATTCAGTAAAGATCTAAAATATCTGTACAACATTCACGAGCTACCAAGTTAATTCTAGAGTTTCCCTTAGACAACAAACCAGCTAATCCCGTAGAAACGCTTTAATTCGGGCAAACGATTGCGTGTCTTGGTGGGTCATCTTTTCAACGCTACCCCAGGCCAAGAATAGAGCACGAAAAATCACTGACCGGCATTTTATTTATGACTAGCCATTGAGTAGCCTCTGGGGCAGCTGGGGCAGCTGGTGCGCTTAATAAACCCACGCCACTAGCAAACAATATATACAAAATACTACGAGCATTCGGGGGCTTTGTGTGTGTGCCCCCCCCACCACCCCATTGTACGCACACATATGTGGAAAATTAGCAAATAAATTAGAATTGCTGGGGGGGGGGCCGGCCAGCAGCCAGTCAAATGAAGTTGTCAACGCCCTGGAGCATCCATCCCGTTCTTTCCCAGATCGAGCAGTACAACGAGGTGCACGAGGCGATTGACCAGATGGAGAATCGGAAGTGCATCAATGGCTGGTTGGCCCTGGATCTGAAGCCACTGAAGTTCGGTCTGCTGAATCTGGCCTGCAAGTGGTCGCATCTCTGCAAGCAATGGCTGCTCCGCTATGTCCAGGGCACCCTCAAGGTAAAGCCAAAGTCTAGCAAGTGCCTTGCACAGACATGAATTTTCGCACATTTTGCAGGAGCTGAATGCGTTCATTGCGCGCGGTCATGAGACGCTGCAGTTGCATATTGCACGGCAGGACTTTAGGGCTCTGCTGCGTGTGCTGGCCATCATGGCGGAGATACGGCAGCGCGAGCCCTACGCGGACAATGTGTTCAAGCCACTGAAGGACATCATGGCCCTGCTCAAGACCTACAATGTTGAGTATGAGTCGCAGTTGCTGCGCAGCATCGAACAGCTGCCGCTGCTGTGGCAACAGCTGAAGCAGTGCAGCACCGTCAAGCAGGAGGTGCTGCAGGACACGCGCTACCATCAGCAGCAACGGGTCGCCTCGCTCATAGGGCTGCACACATGCCACGTGCAGCACTATGCCAGGCAGTTCCAACGCATGCCGGTGAGCGCTGGCAGCCTTTTACTTTTGCCCTTCCAACTGATTTCCGATTCGGTTTCCCTGCAGTTCTTTCGAGTGCCCTGTCCGCAGGTGTACGATGCCTGCGACGAGGTTTACGTGCGCCTGCATCGCTTCGGCAGACAGCAGCGTCTGTACACGCGCTGGGCGCGACTCCTCGACATTGCATCACCCGACACGGCCACGCTGCAGCTATGCCAAGTGGAGCTCAGGCGGGTGAAGGTGAGTATCGATCTGCAAATATACGAATAGGGATATTAACACGCGGCTGCAACTGGTGATTGAGTCATACCTGCATGCTCCTAAATATCCTGTTTTGATTACTGCCCCATCCCCCTTTTAGCAATTGTGGGACTTTGTTCGTGTCATCGAGTCGTGCATTGTTGATTGGCATGCGACACCGTGGCTGCTCATCGACACGGATGATATGGAGCACGAGTGCAAGAAATTTACGCGCGATTTGCGCACCCTCGACAAGTGCATCCGCGACTGGGCGCCCTATGTCTACATTGTGGGCGTTCTCCGTGAGCTGGTGGCCTCCCTGCGAGCCATTACCGAACTGCAGAATCCAGCAATTACCGAACGCCATTGGCTGGAGCTGATGCAGCTGACAAAGGTAAGCATAATAGACCAACATCAATGGTGGGGTGGGATGGGTTGGGGTGGGGTGGGCTATCCATGCGGTGTCTATGTGTGTGTGTGTTTTTCCAAATGATTGAGCGTCCCAACAATAGAGGAATGGAGCTTGCAATCTGTCCAACTGACTGCCTGCTGGCTGTTGGCTGCTAGCTGCTGGCTGTTGGCTGCTGGCTGATGTCTCTCTTTGTGTGCGGGGAGAGTGTGCCCGGTCAGGAGCAGCAGCAGGAGCAGCACAATGGCGCACATTGGGCAAACACATTAGCAGGTGATGTGTTGGCAAACGCGCAAATGGCAGGAGGATGACAGGAGCAGCAGCAGCAGCAGCAACAGCAGCAGGAGCTCTGCTGCAGTCGAACAACTTTTCACATCGAATGACGCAGCGTTAAGCATGTCGTGGAGTCGCCATAGACATAGAGACATCATCCGTGCCACTCGATTTGTAAGCCAGAAGTTGGATAAAGCAGCGCAAACAGATTCGGTAGTTTACTCAAGGATGGAGGCGGCATGGAATCAATTAAAATCATGTCGAATAATTGAAATGGATCACTTGATAAACTCTAATCAAATCTCTTCTCTTCTCTCTGTCTTGTCTCTGTGGAGCAGCTAAGTGGACAGCATCGGATGGAGGAACTGGTAAGTGTAAATCAAAATCAAAATAATAATCCGTAACCTTAACAGTTGCCGGTTGCCGCTTGCCGGTTGCCGTTGCCTGCTTTGAATACGTACACACAAATGAACATACAATACATAAACCGAAAATGGCCACATGCCATCAGGCATCTATCTATACGGATTAGATGCATTATTTAATTACCAAACTGCCATTGGACCGAACTTACAATGGGCTTAGTATAGGGCATAGGGCATAGGGCACTCCCACTTGATCCTTAGCCTCGAGGCGACAAAGGGATGCAGTCAGGGATGATGCTACTTGTTAATTAAGTCGGTCGGAGAGCAGTCAAAATGCGTAATTATTACGCATACGTTATGTTTGGCATCGTAATGCAACTCCAACAATTATATACCTCAAATTAAATGCATGTCAACCAAGCACAGAGATATGTAAATATGCTTATGAGGTTTATATGCACTGCTCGGGTTTCCTTGCACATGCCGTGAAATTAATAAAAGCCCTGCAAATGTTCTCAAATTAAAATCCACCCCGCACAAAGCTCTCGTACAAATGCAACAAGGCGACGAGCCTGGCCCAGCTGCTTAAGCTGCAGCTGCAGCATCACGAGGAGGACATCAAGAACACCGTGGATCGTGCCATCAAGGAGCTGACCGTGACCAAGGTGCTCGACGAAATCAAGGCCACGTGGGCGCATCTCGAATTCGAGCTGGAGCCACACCAAACACGTGCCAGCATACGGCTGCTCAAGGTGTCCGAGGAGCTCATCGAGACGCTGGACGACAACCAGATGCAGCTGCAGAATATTTCCACCTCAAAGCACATCGAGTATCTGCTGGAAAAACTCGGCCACTGGCAGCGTGTGCTCAGTGGCATCGACACTCTGATTGTCAATTGGCTGGAGGTGCAGCGCAAGTGGATCTACCTCGAGTGCATTTTCATCGGCTCGGCGGACATACGTGCCCAGCTGCCAGCAGAGGCGGCCAACTTTGAGCGCATTGATGCGGACTTCACGGCGCTGCTGGCGCGCGTCAGTCAAGTGCGTGTCGTCATGCAGGTGGTGCTGCGGCACGAGGATGTGCTGCCGCAGCTGCTGCAACTGCAGCAGCGTCTGGCCATCTGCGAGAAGGCGCTGAACGATTATCTGGAGACGAAGCGGCTGGCCTTTCCACGCTTCTACTTCATCTCGGCCGCCGACCTGCTGGACATACTCTCCAACGGCAACAATCCGCAGGTCATCGATCGCCATCTCATCAAGCTGTTCGACTCGATTCTGAGGCTCCAGTACGAGACCAACACCACGAATGCCGTCGGCATGCACTCCAAGGAGAACGATGAGTATGTGCCCTTTGTGGCGGAGCAGGATCAGCCCGCCTACATTGTGTGCAGCGGCCGTGTGGAGCTCTGGCTGCGCGCCATCATCCAGCAAATGCGAAGCACCCTGCACGAGCTCTTTCGCCGGGCCCTGCGCGCCTTTGGCGAGAAGCCGCGCGAACTCTGGCTCTACGATTGGCCAGCCCAGGTGGCCCTCTGCTGCAGCCAGATCAGCTGGACGGCGGACGTGAATCGATCGTTCGGCTGCATGGAGGAGGGCTACGAGGGCGTCATGAAGGAGCTCCACAAGCGCCAGATGGCCCAACTAAATGCGCTGATTAATCTGCTGCTCGGCGAACTGTCGCCGGGCGATCGCCAGAAGATCATGACCATCTGCACCATTGATGTGCACTCGCGGGATGTCGTGGGCAAGATCATATCCTCCAAGGTGGACAACTCGCTGGCCTTTCAGTGGCAGAGCCAGCTGCGCCATCGCTGGGACGACGACCAGGCGGGCAGCTCCAGCGGCGGGGCAGGCACCGCCCACAGTGCGGGCGGTGGCGATGAGGATTGCTTTGCCAACATTTGCGACGCAGAGTTCCGCTACGCCTACGAATATCTGGGCAACACATCGCGACTGGTTATCACACCGCTCACGGATCGCTGCTACATCACCCTGACACAGGTGAGTCGCGTAATTTTACTTTCACTTGGCACTTAAGCACGTAATCGGAATATTTGCAACAAAATACCGAAGTAGGAGGAGGGGCGTTAATGGGTTAATGGGTTTAGCAGCGGAAATCCGCTACGTAGCAAAAGTCCATGGGAATCTTTGAATAATTGAAAGGCCGTGTCCCATTGCTTCTGAATATATAAATAGGAAGTCCGTTAAAGACAACAAAATAAGTAAGCGAGAGTGAGAGTGTGAGAAGAAGCTGCCGGAAATTCAATAAATTTCATTTATTTGCGCGTGTAATTGGCGCAATTTTTAATTTAAAGCAGTTGCAAATTTCACACAGAACGCACAAATCAGATATGTATTATCTTTATCGCACGTGTTGAAAGTATACAAAAGAATGTCTATAAAGCTATAAATTACACTCGACAAACCGAACTGGGGTTTGATGGAATTTTTTGGGGGGAACGGGGTAAGTTAATTTGTAAAAAATACCCATATGATGTTTGCATTTCAATGTTTATATTTCCGATGGGCTGAAATCACAAAGTGTTTGGCATCAACTAGCTGCATTTTCTTCAAATCTGTTCCACTTACATTAGATCTTTATGAAAAAAACAAGCGTTACCTAAAAAAAATTGGCCAGAAAAAAAAAATAACATCAAACCTTTCCCCAATTGTTAAATTTATTCATTTATTGACACAACACAACACGACCGATACCGGGCAAAGGCTTTATGTATACTGATCTTGGCATATATTGTCGTCGTCACTTCACTTTCCACCGTTATGAATTTTCCACATTTTTAGTTTCACGCGCCTTTCGTAGCTGTTTATGCAGAGTGTGGCCAGATTCTGCGATATTTTTATTGCGCTCTTTACACAGCACACGTTTATGCGGGGATTTTCGTGAATTCTTGAACTTGCCAAATTGATATCACAACACCAATTTGTGAAATGGCGACAAGTCGTACTTGTACTGAAGTTACTGCAGAGATATTTATAAAGTAGTATTGCTCATAAAAGATGTTGAGAGTAGAATCGGTTTTTTTCATTGATATTATTAAAATAATAATTTTTTTTGCTAAATGCGCTCCGTGTAAACATTGTCGTGGCATTGCCACGTGTTTAAGAAATTCGAGACCAAAAGAGAAACGACATTTGCCTGTTGCTTGCATACAAATCCAAGTGGATTTCACATAATTGTGGTGTACCCCTAAGACGCAGCAAAGTTGTATGCAATTAAGCAATAACTTTAAATTGATTGCCAAACATCGTGGCAGTGCCACAGCTTCGAAAGGAGCGGAGCCTGAGCCCCTTAGAAGCATCCATTAACAAGCGATCATCAATTTGTTGTACATAGTTTCTCTGTGCACCTCACTTCCGTTCCGCACGCTGCAAATTAAACAACTCGTTAGTGGAAAATAAATGCGCTCCTTGTAATTTACATATGCCACCTCTTTGCACGCCGCTGCATCTTGCCGCGTCCCAACGAAATTGCTGGGCGAATGCGCCATAGTCGCTGCGACTGCGACTGGCGGGTGCAACCGCTGGCCCTGCTGGCACCGGGAAAACGGAAACGACCAAGGACCTGGGACGGGCACTGGGCGTAATGGTTTATGTCTTCAACTGCTCGGAGCAAATGGACTACAAATCTTGTGGAAACATTTACAAAGGGCTGGCCCAGACGGGGGCCTGGGGCTGCTTTGACGAGTTCAATCGCATCTGCGTGGAGGTGCTGTCCGTGGTGGCCGTTCAGGTGAAGACCATACAGGAGGCGATAAAGGTACATGGCCACGACGTGGCGACGAGGAGCGTTTGCAAATTGATTTTACCCACCACCCCCACCTCTATCCCTTGCTTCCTTGCCATGCTGCGCATTGATTACTTTTACTTGGGCCACCTTGTCGTCCTGCTATGTGTGTGTGGATGCTGTTTCTGGTTGGTTTTGCTGTTATGCTGCCTCATCCCGGCCACTGCCTCTGTTCTGTTCCGTTCCATTCTCTTCTGTTCTGTTTACAGATGCATAAAACCCAATTTATCTTTATGGGCGAGCGCATTTCACTGGAGCCGTCGGTGGGAATTTTTATCACCATGAATCCGGGCTATGCCGGCCGCACGGAGCTGCCGGAGAACCTGAAAACATTGTTTCGCCCTTGCGCCATGATTGTGCCGGACTTTGCTTTGATTTGTGAGATTATGTTAATGGCGGAGGGCTTCCAGGATGCCCGTCTGCTGGCACGCAAATTTATCACCCTCTACACGCTGTGCAAGGAGCTGCTGTCCAAGCAGGATCACTACGATTGGGGTCTGCGGGCCATCAAATCGGTGCTGGTCGTGGCCGGCACACTCAAGCGCGATGACCACAGCCGGCCCGAGGATCAGGTGCTGATGCGGGCGCTGCGTGACTTCAACATACCCAAGATTGTGACGGAGGATGTGCCCATATTTATGGGCCTGATTGGTGACCTCTTTCCCGCCCTGGACGTGCCCCGGAAGCGGGTCTTTGAGTTTGAGAAAACCATACGGCGGGCGGTGAACGAAATCAAGCTGCAGCCAGAGGAGGGCTTCCTCATGAAGGTCGTTCAGCTGCAGGAGCTGCTGGATGTGCGCCACTCGGTGTTCATTGTGGGCAATGCGGGCACCGGCAAGACCAAGATATGGCAGACCCTACGCGAGACCTATCGCATTCAGAAGCTGAAGCCCGTCTGCCATGTGCTCAATCCCAAGGCGCTGTCGAATGACGAGCTCTTCGGGATCGTAAATCCCACGACGCGCGAGTGGAAGGATGGCCTGTTCTCCTCCATTATGAGGGAGCAGGCCAATATGCCGCCAGGCAACCCCAAATGGATTGTGCTCGACGGCGACATTGATCCCATGTGGATCGAGAGTCTCAACACGCTGATGGACGACAACAAGATCCTGACTCTTGCGAGCAACGAACGGATTTCGCTGAAGCGCGAGATGCGGCTGCTGTTCGAGGTGGGACACCTCAAGGCAGCCACTCCTGCCACAGTCTCGCGTGCGGGCATTTTGTACATCAATCCCCAGGATCTGGGCTGGTCTCCGTGAGTATTAGGATAGCCTTTGTTGGTTTCTAAAAATAATCTCAGCCTCCCCCTCCCTTAGCTATGTATCGTCCTGGCTGGAGACGCGCGTGGACATGATTGAGCGTGGCATCCTGACGACACTGTTTGAGAAGTACTTCCCCTGCCTGATGCAGCGGCATCGTGACTTTCGTCGCATTACACCCATCACGGACATGGCCATGATACAAATGACCTGCCATCTGCTGGAGTGCCTGCTGGACACCGATGACAAGGGCCGAGGGGATGGCAGTGGGGCCGCTGAAGCCGTCAATCCGCACAGTCTGCACCATGGCGAGAACTCGCACGAGTCCGTCGAGATGGCCCTGGAGACGGTGTTTGTGTATGCCACCGTATGGAGCTTTGGCTCGGCCCTGCTGCAGGACATCATCATCGACTGGCATCGGGAGTTCCACAAGTGGTGGACGGGCGAATTTAAGGACGTCAAGCTGCCCAATCAGGGCACTGTGTTCGACTATCAGTTGAATGTGCGTACGCTGAAGTTTCAGGCATGGTCCGAGCTGGCCGCCCACGACCAGCAGCAGCTGGATGTTCAAATCGATGCCGAGATGCCATTGCAGGTGCGTGCTTGACCCATTTTGCCAATCAGAACTAATCATGCACAAGTAAGCCTTCGGGCACACACACAAACACCCACAGAACGTGCTCATTTCAACTGCAGAGACCACACGACTGGCCTACTTCCTCAAGCTGCTCATCGACCGCAATCTGGCCTGCATGCTGGTCGGCAGCTCCGGCTGCGGCAAGGGCGCCATCTTCCGTCAGCTCTTCAGCAAATATGCCAGTGACCAGGAGCTGCTTGAAATCGCAGTGACTGCTGTCACAGACAGTCATCAGCAGCAGCAGCATCTGTCCAATCCCCCATTAGGTGGAGCAGCTTCCATTGGAGGCAGTGTAGTACGCCGAACGACATCCTCGTCGTCACCGCTGCTGACCACAGTGCAGGCGACGCACTTCAACTTCTACACCACATCGGAGATATTCCAGAAAATGCTCGACAGTCCGCTGGAGAAGAAGTCGGGCCGCTGCTATGCGCCCAGTGGACCCAAGCGACGGCTTGTCTACTTTGTCAACGACCTGAACATGCCGGAGGTGGATGCCTACGGCACAGTGCAGCCGCACACGATTATGCGACAGTTCATGGACTACAGGCAGTGGTGAGTGGCGACACTGATTAGTCCCGCACAGCGGCACTGATTGTTCGACTTTCAACCCGCTACCAGGTACGATCGCCAGCGGCTGCAGCTGAAGGACATCCGACACTGCCAGTTTGCGGCCTGCATGAATCCGACGGCCGGCTCCTTCACCATTGACCCGCGCCTGCAGCGCCATTTCTGTGTGTTTTCGGTTTCGCCACCGCCCGAGGACCAGCTGCAGTACATCTACGGCAGTATTCTGAACGGGCACCTCGAGAATCCGGCGCAGGGCTTCAGCAAGGAAATACGCACGATTGGCAGTCTTCTGGTGCGTGTGGGCATCGCACTGCACCGACGCGTGGAGTACGCCTTCCTGCCGACGGCCGTCAAGTTCCATTACCTTTTCAACTTGCGCGACCTCACGGGCATCTATCAGGGCCTCATGAACAGTGTGGGCGCCCCGGCCTCGGCGGGCGGTGGTGGCGGGGCCACGGCGAACGTCTACGGCGGCACCGTCTGCAGCAGGCCCTCCGAGCTGATCCGCCTCTATGTGCATGAGGCGTTTCGCGTGTACCACGATCGGCTGGTCGATCCGTATGACATCAAGTCGTTCAGGTCTTCGATTCGCGACATATTCAAGAAGGACTTTGAGGACTTTGACGAGGAGTTTGTGTTCGCCGAGCCCCTGATCTACAGCCACTTTGCCCAGTCGCTGGTGGACCAGAAGTACATGCCGCTCAAGAGCTGGGACTCGCTCTACCAGCTGCTGCTGGAGGCCCAGGCCAGCTACAACGAGGTGGTGGGCTACATGAATCTAGTGCTCTTCGAGGATGCCATGATACACGTGTGCCGGTAAGTCCTCCTTACAGTGCACTCAGCCCACTTGCCATGCACTCTGCAGCTTCATTTCTGTGCTTCCAGCATTAATCGCATACTGGAGAGTCCGCGGGGCAATGCTCTGCTCATCGGAGTGGGTGGCTCTGGTAAGCAGACGCTCGCTCGCCTCGCTGCCTTCATCTCCTCGCTTAGTGTCTCGCAGATTCAGATTAAGCGCGGCTTTGGGCTGCTCGACATGAGGGAGGAGATCGCCAGTCTCTATATGAAGGTGGGCCTCAAGAATCTGGCCTCCGTGTTCCTCATCTCAGATGCCCAGATACCCGACGAGTCCATACTGATGCTCATCAACGACTTGCTGGCCTCCGGCGAGATACCGGAACTCTTCAACGACGACCAGCTGGAGACCATCGTCAATGGCATTCGGAATGAAGTGAAGCAGAGCGGCACGCTGGACACCAAGGACAACTGTTGGCGCTATTTTGTGGAGAAGGTTCGCCGATTGCTCAAAGTGGTGCTCTGCTTCTCGCCCGTGGGTCAGACGCTGCGTGTGCGGGCCCGCAAATTTCCGGCCATCATCAGTCGGACGGCCATCGACTGGTTCCACGAGTGGCCCAGAAGCGCTTTGGAGTCCGTTTCCCAGAAGTTTCTCAGCGAAATCAGCAGCATTTTGGAGGTTCGTATGCGGTCTGGGCCCAGGGCCCAGGGGCCAGGGTCCCCTTATTTATGCGTCTGTCGTGCACAATTTACAACTGAAACCTGTCACAACGGACACTTTAAGCCCACACCGCAGCCCGACTAACCCACCCACTCCCTCCTCCCTCCTCCCTCCTCCCTGCATGTTGTACAGCCAGCATTGGTGCCGCCCATCGGGTGCTTTATGGCTTACGTCCATGGCACCGTGAATCAGATATCGAAAATTTATCTGCAAAATGAAAAACGCTACAACTACACGACCCCAAAAACTTTTCTCGAATACATTTTCCTCTACCGCAAACTGTTGGTGAACAAAAACGGTGAATTTGCGGAGCGCATTGCACGGCTGCAGAGCGGCATGGCCAAGCTGGCGGAGTGCGCCCGTCAGGTGGACACGCTGAAGGTGAGTAAATGATGGAATGGGTGGTGCAAACGAAACGGATGCATGCCACATGGTTGCACATATGTATGTGTATGTGTATGAAAATGAATGTACACAGACGACTGAGTGGTATGCCTCGAATAACGAATATTCTGCAGGCTGGGGCATGCTGAAACAATCAAAAAGAAAGATTTAATTTGCGAATATTTATAATACTTTACACCCATGAGCCAAAGAGCAGAACATACTACCTTCTACTCAGCTTTTATGCGCACTTACAGGGTACTCTTTGCATCGCATCTCTTTTTGCTGGCCTGGCGGCGCTTTTGCTGGCCACCCGATCCCAGTGCCAAGGCGTTGTCGGCCATTCAATTAGTGCGCTTAATTGAATTGTTGTTGCAGCAAATCTGCTGTCCATTTGCCACGGCAACATCAATGGGTGTAACCGGAGAAGCGGAAGGCACCGTCCAGAGCTCTCTGCTCTCCGTTCTTTTGAGTTTTCAGCGACGTTTCCGGTTACGTTGCGTATACGCAATGGAAAAGCAAATGGTGGAGAGGAGAGGAGAGGTGCCAGTGCGAGAATAGTGCTCACAGCGCGGTGTAGTGCGGCGCAGCCAAATGTTATTTAAAATAATTGAATTAAATTGAATTTTCACTTCAATTAAACAAACGCCGGTTCAGAATATCTCCCGCTGCTGCACCATAAAACCTACAGAGAGATGCATAGATATATAGATAGATACCATTTGGAGATTCTATTTGTATGAATGTGCCCGCAATTTGTGCGCAAAAGTTGCGTTTGGGTAAATATTGAGCCATCGTGCCGGGGCTTTAATTATTTACCCACAGCCGTGGAAAACTTTTCCGCTTTACTTTACTTTGATTTCGATGCTGCTGTTGCTGAGTTGAGTTGAGTTTTAGTTGAAGTTTTTCATTGTACCTAATTGTTAATCCGCGACGCGCACACAGCATCAATTGGCCATCCAAGAGGTTCAGCTGGCGGGCAAAAATGCGGCCGCCGACAAGCTGATTGTCATCGTGAGTGCCGAGAGCGAGAAGGTGAAGCGGGAGCGCTATATAGCCTCCGAGGAGGAGAGCCGTGTCCGCATCATCGAGGAGGATGTCTCCATCAAGACCAAGATGTGCGAGGAGGATCTGCGGCAGGCGGAGCCGGCGCTGGTGGCCGCCCAGGCAGCGCTCAATACACTCAATAAGAACAATCTCACCGAGCTGAAGTCGTTCGGTTCGCCGCCCAAGGGCGTGATCAATGTGTGTGCCGCTGTGATGGTGCTGCTGGCCACCAATGGCAAAATACCCCGAGATCGCAGCTGGAAGGTGGCCAAGCTGATGATGGTGCGTGTCGATCAGTTCCTCAACGATCTGCTCAACTACAACAAGGACAACATACACCAGAATATCATTGAAACGCTGCAGGAGTATCTCAAGGTGAGGCTCTCCTGCTTGCTTATCCCTGCCATTGCCACTGATGAGATTACTTCTCTCCGCAGGATCCCGAATTCAATCCCGACAAAGTCGTGCAAAAGTCGGTGGCCGCTGCTGGCCTCTGTGCGTGGGTCATCAATCTGTATCGCTATCACCAGGTCTTTCCTGATAGTCGGCCCCAAGCAGCAGGCCCTGCAGGATTCACACCAGGAGCTGCTGGAGGCCCGCGAGCGCCTGCAGTATCTCAAGTCGAAGATTAACAACCTGGAGGCGAAGCTGGCCGAAATACAGGCCGAGTTCGAGCACGCGGTGGCCGAGAAGCAAAAGTGCCAGCGGGAGGCGGACAAGACCTCATTCACCATTGATCTGGCCCATCGTCTGGTCAATGGACTGGCCAACGAGAATGTCCGCTGGCGTGAGTCTGTCCAGAGGTGAGTGTTGAGTGTGTGTCTCGGTCTGCCTGTGGCTCCGTGTCCCGTGTCCCTTGTCCCTGTTTGTGTCCGTGGGCTTCGCGAGTGTGTTGCATTTATGCGTAATCAATTATTAAACTTAATTTACATTCTGTGTGCGGCCGCAATCGCAGTAATTGCTTTGCTTGCCACCTTTCCCCTGCACCTTTCCCCCACCATCCTGTCGAAGGCAGTGGCTTGAACCACACTGCGGCTCCTGTTGCTGCTGGTGTTCGCTTACTTGCGGTCCACCGCCGCAACAAAGGGCCGTAAATTTTATTTACTTGCGCTCATTTGGGGGCACTGCAAGGTCCCCGACCCCGGCTCATTTCGCTGGATTCCATCGGAGGCAATGAACTATCCATCCGCCATTCCACTCCGAAATTAAATGAATTTACGCTGCAGCATTGTGCAGCCGAGTTGCCACTAGTCCCATCTGTTGCTTGCCACACAGTTGCAGCCGTGCCTAAACACCCGCCATGGCAGTGGTGCGCAACGGTTGCCTAAATTGCCTCAAATTGCATTTAAAATGCGTTAAAGTCGTGCAATGGGAAGCTCAAGCCAAACAAGTTCGAGAACAATTTAATGAAAAATGTCAAACAAATATAAAACAAAAGTAATTTCTAATTGCAAATCAAATGATTGCCTGCACACAAAATCGGTATGTTTTTAGCCTCAGTTAAAGCTTAGAAAAATCGGAGTTTCCATGGAAGCAAAACCAATAGAGGTGTGCCCTTCCTCCCTCGCCACACACACAATTACATAAACCATAAACCAAGCAGAGCAGTGCCCATGCGGTGCACATGCAATAAGCACTCACAAAAAACGTAATCAAATTCATATAGATGTCAATAGCAATAGTTGGACGCGCACACAACACGCACTCCGACACCTTTGGCTGCCCATTGACTGCCTCACTGGCCGAATGCACTGAAAGAAACAACTGCAACATATATTCAAAAATTACCATTTAAATAAATTTAAAATGGTTTACTTCTATTTTCTATTTTGAATGCCCAATTGAACTTCCAACATTTGTACATCATTGTGTTACAATTTATTGATAGAAATTCGTATTTAAATTTGGAAATATTGGCATCCATTGGGAGGCATTCAAATATAAATACTACGCTTGATAGCAGCCTTTTCGGGGCAAATTAATATTCACGAAATATTTAATATGACCAATCTGAAGCTCTATTTTGTATAATTTTCTATGGCTATTTTTTTTGCTGTGTGGTTTGACTGGCTTTCTGCTGCATGCATTGAAATTCAATTGAGTGCGCGTGCAAGCCAAAAGAAATCCGCAAAGGGCATTGATGATGATGATGATGGTGGCGAGCAAAAGGCTGAGGTGTTGAATTTTTCGCACCTACATAACTGCAAAATTTCACACAAACAGAAGCACAAACGTGCATGTGTGTGTGTGGTCAGGCGCTCATACGATCACACAATTGGGCATCGTCAGCAGTTAAATCGGCAGGGGAGCGGAATAGGAATGGCTATATGGGTGTGTGTGTGGGTGTCGGTTTGGTTATGTTGTAAATGCATCTAAAATACGTATTGAATTATGAAAAAGGCAAAGTCCCACCCCCCGACCCCGGATTGGGGCTGCACTGAACTGAACTGTTCTGTGAATTTGTGGCATGTAAGCCAAAAAATGTGTATGTGCCTTGGACATACAAATTAATGCCCCATTGAGTGCTGCTGCACTGGCAAAGGAGCAATAGCCTCCGTCCGCAGCAGAGCAGCAGTAGGAGCAGCAATAGGAGACTTTATATGCGAGAGAATTGTTCAAATATTTATGAAAATATAATTTGACCTCCCCAACTGCAGTTTACCTGCATGTGGGTGATGCTGTGTGTGGGTAAGCTGCCTCTGACTTGCATATAAATTTCTGCATATTTGACAATGACATTACACATACGCACAGCAGAGCACTGGAGATAGGTAGGTGTGGAAGGGAGGTAGGGAGAGATGCATGTCGGATGTAGGATATACGATATTTGTTGGGCAACTTATTGTTGTTATTTTTGCGACTGCTGCCTGCCTGTCTGCCTGCCTGCTGCTGGCATTGTTTGGTCTGTCTTCGAAAAAGGGCAGCTCTCGTATGTGCGTTGTGTGTGTTTTAAATGAGAATGCTCTGATGTCACACGGACAGGTATTTTAGCCCAAAAATTCCATAGAATATCTTTTGGAAAAACAATTAATGCATCGCTGGGCTGCAGTGGCGCAGTCAGGCAATGATTCGAGGGGGTTAGTTGGCTCTTAGCCCCAACTGAAGGCAGTTGGAATATTTATTGACTTATTTATTGTGTGTTTAATTTTTGTAGTGTAGTAACTACCCCCCAAAAAATACGGCCATGTGCCTGTGCCATTATTAGATTATTCAATTACAAAGCATTATTTACAAGACACTTTTGCCGCACATGAATGTGCATATAAATGAGCATAAATCATTTTCAAGCTGCAGCTTGAATCTTGAATGTTGATGCTGTAATGGGGCACCCCTTCCCCCTAATGGGAAAATACTCAGGCAACGACAATCGCTCCTTAAATTCTGTTCAGATCCGCCTGCTCCATCCTTGGCGTGCAATATAATAAGCTCAAATATTTCAATAATACTCGTAGTTGGCGTGCAGCAATTTCTGATAATTTATGCAACCACTTCTGATGCTTCTTCTGATGACGGGGGGGCTGCTGGCTGCTGCCGCTTCCATCATCGACATTGTCAGCAACAGAGGCAGCTTGCAACAAACTTGCAACAACCAACCAAGCAAGCAAGCAAGCAACCAACCAACAACGAACCTCTCCAACATCATTATTTTTTCAATTTCCCCTCATTTCAATTTAAATGCATCCCCAGACGGTGGCGTGGTGGGAAGGGGAGGCCAAGTGCCAAAGGCTGCAGCGGATGCCAACCTTCGGCTTGCTGCCTTCCTTCTCTGTAAATTATGCGATTTGTTAGCATCAAACGGAACCAACGCAGCTCCCTCTCCACCGCCTCCACTCTAGTTGCTTTTTGTACTTGACTTTCCCTTTTTACCACCCACCACCCATCGCCCACCGCCCCCCTTCATTGTCTTGCTTGGCAGCTTACAAGCCAAGATTGGAACCCTGCCTGGAGATATACTACTAATTTCCTCGTTCCTGTCGTACGTGGGCTGCTTCACGCGCCGCTACCGCGAGGAGCTGCAGCACAAGATGTGGCTGCCGAACTTTCGCAAAATCGATGTAAGTAGCCCTCGACCGGGAACCGGGATTAAAACTGTCTGTCACGCCTGTCTAATCCGCCGTATAGCCGCACATACCCCACACCGAGGGCGTCGACCCTTTGGCCCTGTTCTCGGACGATGCCCAGATAGCCACCTGGAACAATGAGGGTCTGCCCATGGATCGCATGTCCACGGAGAATGCCACCATCTTGCAGTACACGACGCGTTGGCCGCTGATGATTGATCCGCAGCTGTAAGTGGGAATATCCCCATATCCCCATCCTTGAAATCGACTCTAATCGTTGTCCCATTTGTCCCACAGGCAGGGCATCAAGTGGATCAAGAATCGCTTTGACACATCGTTGGTTGTGCTGCGACTGCGGCAGCGTGGCTTCCTGGAGGCCCTCGAGAAGTGCATCTCGCAGGGCGACACTGTGCTCATCGAGCAAATCGAGGAGTCGCTGGACACGGTGCTGGAGCCGCTGCTCAGTCGGGCGCTGATCAAGAAGGGTCGATATCTGCGCATTGGCGACAAGGAAATCGAGTTTAATGCCAATTTCCGGCTCATACTGCACACGAAGATGGCCAATCCGCACTACAAGCCGGAAATGCAGGCACAGACGACACTGATTAACTTTACGGTGACGCCGGACGGGCTCGAGGAGCAGCTGCTGGCGGAAGTGGTCAAGATTGAGCGGCCGGACTTGGAGCAAATGAAAACGGAGGTGACCGTGCAGCAGAACAAGTTTAAAATCTCGCTGAAAGCCCTCGAGGATGAGCTGCTGGCGCGACTGGCCTCTGCCGGCGAGAATGTGCTCGATGACCATGCCCTGGTGCTCAATCTGGAGAACACCAAGCGCACCGTGGACGAGATCGAGGCGAAGGTGCGGGAGGCACGCCTCACCACGCTGCAGATCGACGAGACGCGCAACATCTATCGGTCGGCGGCGAAGCGGGCGGCCATCCTGTACTTTGTGCTCACCGATCTCAATCGCATCAATCCCATCTACAAGTTCTCGCTGAAATCGTTCATGCACGTCTTCCGGCAGGCCATTGCCCTGGCGCCCGACTCCAAGAGCTACGAGAAGCGAGTGCTGCACCTGGTGGACTCGATCACCCTGCAGACCTACCGCTACACGCTGCGCGGCCTCTTCGAGGCGGACAAGCTGACCTTCACCTCGCACATGACGCTGCGCATCCTGATTGCCGCCGATCAGGTTTCCAAGGACGAGACGGACTTCCTGCTGCGCTATCCCCACGATCCGAGCACATTGTCGCCGCTGGATTTTGTCGGCCGCAGCGCCTGGGGCGGCATCAAGTCGCTGACCCTCGTCGAGCACTTCTACGGCATCGACAAGGACATGGAGAACTACACGAAGCGCTGGCGCAAATTCATGGGCAGCGATGCCCCCGAGCGCGAGCAGTTCCCCGGCGAGTGGAAGCACCGCACGCCGCTGCAGAAGCTGTGCATCGTCCGGGCCCTGCGGCCCGATCGCATGACCTATGCCATGTGCCAGTTCGTGGAGCAGACCATGGGACGATCGTATGCGGAGGTGCAGACGCCGCCGTTCAATGACATCTTCAAGGACCTGAATGCGGCGACGCCGGCCTTCTTTATACTCTCGCCCGGTGTCGATCCCATCCGGGATGTGGAGCGCTTCGGCCAGAAGCAGGGCTACCACGCGGACACCGACACGCTGGTGAACATATCGCTGGGCCAGGGCCAGGAACTGCTGGCCGAACAGGCCATACACCACGCCCTCGCCTCGGGTCAGCAGTGGGTCATACTGCAGAACATTCATCTGGTGGTCAACTGGCTGCCCACGCTGGAGAAGCTCATCGAGCGCATTGTCCTGCAGTCGGAGACCCAGGGGGAGTCCAGCTTCCGGCTCTTCATCAGCGCCGAGCCAGCGCCCGATCCGCAGTATCACATCATACCGCAGGGAATCCTGGAATCGTCGCTGAAGGTGGTCAATGAGCCGCCAGCTGGCATGGCCGCCAATCTGCACAAGGCCTGGGATAACTTCTCGCAGGACGCACTCGAGACGTGCACCCAGGAGGCCGAGTTCAAGTCGATTCTGTTCGCGCTCTGCTACTTTCATGCGGTGGCCGGCGAGCGGCGAAAGTTCGGCCCCCAGGGCTGGAACAAGGTCTATCCGTTCAACATCGGGGACCTCATGATCTCGTCGAATGTGCTGCACAACTATCTGGAGGGCAGCAATCGCATACCGTGGGAGGATCTGCGCTATCTCTTCGGCGAGATCATGTATGGGGGCCACATCACGGACGACTGGGACCGAAGGCTGTGCCGCACCTATCTGGAGGAGCTGCTGCAGCAGGACCTCATCGATGGCGACTTTGAGCTGTGTCCGGGCTTCCCGGCACCGCCCAATCTCGACTTCGAGGGCTATCACTCGTACATCAATGAAATGCTGCCGGCCGAGTCACCGCTGCTGTACGGACTGCATCCGAATGCGGAGATTGGCTTCCTGACCACCGCCTCGGAGCAGCTGCTGCGCACCATCTTCGAGCTGCAGCCCCGCGAATCGGAGCTCAGCTCCCACTGTGGTGCGCCCCGCGAGGAGCTCGTCAAGATCATGATCGATGATTTTCTGGACAAGTTGCAGGACGAGTTCAATCTCCAAGCGCTGCTGAATCGCGTGGAGCGCAAGACGCCCTTCGTGGTCGTGGCCCTGCAGGAGTGCGAGCGCATGAATGCCCTCATTCGCGAGATCAAGCGATCCCTACGCGAACTGATGCTGGGCCTCAAGGGCGAGCTGACCATCACCCAGGAAATGGAGCGGCTCGACTATGCCATCTTCTATGACCATGTGCCGGGGGCATGGGCCCAGCTGGCGTATCCCAGCATGCTGGGCCTGCAGGGCTGGTTCGCCGATCTGCTGCATCGCATCAAGGAGCTGGCCGGCTGGCTGAATGACTTTAAGCTGCCCTGCGCCATCTGGCTGGGCGGATTGTTCAATCCCCAGAGCTTCCTCACCGCCATCATGCAGGAGAGTTCCCGCAAGCATGATCTGCCACTGGACCGCATGCTCATCAGCTGCGACGTCACCAAGAAGCAAAAGGATGATGTCACGTAGGTTCCATTTATCCGCTTCAAGCTCGAATCTCTGTCTCTAATCTTGTATCAGTCTGCCGCCAATGGAGGGTGCCTTTGTCCATGACCTGTATATGGATGGGGCCAGCTGGGACTGTCAGCTCAACTCGATTGTGGCCCTGCGCCCCAAGGAGATGCTCTGCGCCATGCCAGTCATCTACATCAAGTCCATTGTCCAGGAGAAGCAAGAGCTGCAGCGTGTCTACGAGTGTCCACTGTACAAGACCAGGTGAGTGGCCTTTATCCCATCCTATCCCATCCTATCCCATCCATTAGGGAACTGCTTATATCTCGTGTTTGGTTTCGGTTTCGCACTTGCAGGTCGCGTGGCAACACTTATGTCTGGACGTTCAACCTAAAGACGCGCGAGCGTCCATCGAAATGGATCTTGGGTGGAGTGGCGCTCCTATTGCAGCCATAAAAGGGGGCGCCGCTCCACTCAGGGGCCTGGACTATGCGTATCTACGCGTAACATTATTGCCGCCCATCGACCAGCCAAAGTTCAGGCACCAGACGCAAACCACTCGAAATGACGAATCAATTAGTAGATAATTATTTATAACTTTTAGCGTCTAACCACGGGTTGCGTCGCTTCGCATCGCTTCGCGTCTCGTCTCGTCTCGCGCAACGCACGTGAAGTTCGCGTAAATATGACGAAACCGCAAATGTATCTTATCTGAATGTTAGTGGCAGCGATTTATCTGGAAATAGTTGCATGTTGCTAGGTTCCACCTCGAGCTACCCATTTGGCAACTTGATTTTATTATGCAAAGTTCTTGGAAAGTTATATATACATTTATGAAATTAATTTAGTCATTCGACTAAGGCAAATGAATAAAGTGCCGCGTAGGGTTTTTATAGTTCAACTGGGGAAACTACTTTTCGCACTATGTACAGACAGGGTAATGCCCCTCTATACACTGAGAGAAAAGTGGCATTATAAAAATAAAATAAATAAAAATAAAATTTAAATATTTCATTTTTAAATAAAAAATATAGTAAAATTAAACGGAAATTAAAAAAAAAAAAGTGGCATAAAATAAAATAAATAAAATAATATATAAATATTTCATTTTTAAATATAAAAATATAGTAAAATTAAATGGAAATTCACTTAGATTTAAACATAACTAATGGTTAAAAACGTCTTTTTAAATACGTCCCCATATACGTATATTAAAGTAGATATAAAACACTTAAAAATAAATTTAGTATATTAAATTTGAAGCAAATATATTTAATTTAAAAATTACAAAACTGAATTTACCTTACAAAAGTATTTAATTTAAATATTAAATATATTCACTTTAAAAATTAAATATATTTAGTCCAAATATAAAATATATTTACTTAAAATATAGAATATATTTATATTTTCTTTTAAATTGTTTATAATAAAATCAGACTATAAGTGCAAACAATTTCCACTCTCCCAGCTAATTTATTGTTTTTCCATTTTTAAATCTAAGTGCCAATATTGAGTGCTTATTTTCTCTGTGTGTACTAGAGCGAATTTTCCAACGAATAGGCAAATAGACAAATAGACAAATGGCCTGAAAACCTGATCACGTGCCAGTGGATGGGTTCAGAAATGGTTCAAGGTGAAATGTGGGCATCCCAAGTAGACTTTGGAGCAGATTATGCTATAGCTAAATATTTTTATTTGTTTATATGCACAGTCAAAATTAGCCCAAAAAGTTCCAGCCGCAGCACCTGTGCCAAACGTTTACTATATATAGAAAAATCGTAGACCAATCGTGCTGCGCGACTTTGACCACCAGTTGCCCACGTGTGCGCATAATTAGCGACAAGACTACTGACGTAATCGGCAGACCAAATCGTTTCGCGTATTTGCCAAAATCAGCCACTGGACGATCACGTGAAGGGCCCAGCCCAGCCAGGCCAAGCAAACAATGAAAGTAAATGTCGGCTGCTTACAAAATTCTGCCGATTGTCTGCTGATAAGGTGGAGCTGGCTGTCTGTGCTTTTTGCTGTATGTATGTATGTGTCAGCAGACATACGCTCGATGGGGGGAAAAGTACCCGAGCGTCCCACCGACTTAAACTACTTCCATTGAATTGGGGGGCTCGTCATCCGAGTCATTCCTTAGCGGCGTGATCTGCTGGAGATACGTCTAAGCCTCCAGTCCGGGTGGCATTTTTATTGACATTTAGCTGGCGCACACGTCATGCACATCGGAAGACGGCAGTAGTTTCACCTTTGACCTAACAAACAAACCCCCTGCAAAGCACTTTCGATGCCCAGCCACCTGAACAGCGTTCGTTGCCAAGGGCCTAGTCTCCAAATATTTGCGTTCGTTTTGAAATTCGCATTCGAAGTGGCTCTGTGGCTGTGTATCTGTATGCATAAATAACTCGCGCTGGGAGTATTCCCCGAACACGAATGCTACGCGTGACACAGGAATGGTCGGGATCCATACACATACCGCTGCCCCACCCACTAATGGGCCACCTCTCGCCTCGTGAAGATCACGGGCGCAACAGTTTTTCACATTCGCTTGGGGTTATAGATAAAAATTGCCCCCTTTTGCCCGGCGAGACGTCGTAGTGTACGTAGAACAGACATTTCTGGTTGAAATCGGAACGGACTCTCTCCCTATCGCTAGCCGACGACGTCGCTGTCGTCGTCGTCGTCGTCGTCGTTGTGCTGCCGCCGCCGCTCAGCGGCAAAAAAGTATTTAAACGAGAAATGATTCGGTATGACAAATCAGAAGTGAAATAATTGTGAAACAGCAAGCAACAGGCTGTGCAAAATCCAATCGGGGAAAAAAACCATTTGGCACCAACGCTACCAGACGTGAGACTCTTCAAAGAGACAAGCAAATACCCACAAAGGTGAGTGAGGCAAACTAATTCACAAGAAATATCTGGGGCAAATACCTCACACAAGGCACGTAGCCCAGCCACCCACCCCCCAGCCAGATATATATAATATCTAGAGACCATGCCAATTCATCGTGAACTAATGACGAATTTCCGGTTTTCGTTTTTTTATTATTTTTTAGTTGTAGAAATGCCTACCGCCACTGCTGCCGCACATTTGCCCATTCAGAAGCGGAAATATCATGAGCACAGCGGCGAGCCTGGCTGCCAGGGCCTGGAGGAGATGAATCGCATGTTCCGCAATTTCTGGGATCCCACCGCATTCTGGGTGTGCGATAAGCAGGGCACACGTGCCCGCCTACAACACTGCCCCAAGTCACAGCTGTACTCCGAGGAGCTGGGACGCTGTGTACACTATGCGGACTGGTCGTGGTCGGACTTCAAAGAGCCGCCAAGCCGGCCCAAGGCAACCAACACACAGTCGGTGTCCACTCAGTAGTGGACTCACTTAGTTATACTCCTAATCGTAATGCCGTTAGATATATTTTATGCTAAGCCCAAAAACCACAAACATCCTCAATTAGCAATTACGTTATCGCTATGATATTTATCTTTACAAAAAAACCTTTATTTTTTCAATGAAAATAAGAAAACAGAAAAATAATCAGTACAAAAATCAAAGTGTTGCTTTGTGTTCAACAATTTCCAGGCCATTGTTTACTTTAAACTTAAATGTTAGAGGTATATATGGGGGGGACGGGGCTGGAATGCAGTTCCATAAATGGTAGAATGTTGTGGGGGGGACGTTGCAGCAGAACCGAATTATAAACCGTGGCATATAATGAGCTGCCCGAGAGAATCATTTGAGCTAAAGGCTTCGAGCTAGTTTGAATTTAGCTACATTTCGACTAAAATTAACTGGCACCGCATGAGGCCTGAGTGGAATGTTTCAAGAAAATAGATGTTGTGGGACACTCCCTAAATCAATTTGAGATGCTGTGGTGGGGAGTGGGGGTAGGGAGAATATAGAGTAAAGTGGAGTTTGATTCTGTCATTGGCTGACTACGTGAATAACCGAATCTCCTCTCTGGGAATGTCCTCGAACTCAAACTCGAAGGATTGCGCTCTGCTGTGTGTTTAGAGCTCCACGTTGACGCCCTGCTTGTTGATGACCTTGAGCTTCTCCTTTGCTGGTGGCTTCGTGTCCGCTGGAATGTTTTCCTCTATGGGCGCCGGTTTCGTGGGCACAGTGCGCTTGGTGGTTGATGCAGCAGGCTTTGGCGTTGTGGTAGTCGTTGTGGGTGGTTTAGTTGTCGGTGGCTTAGTTGTGGGCGCCTTGGTAGTGGGTGGCTTCGTTGTTGTTGTTGTCGTTGGCTTTGGCGTTGTAGTTGTTGTTGCTGTTGTTGTTGTTGTCGTTCTCCTCTTTGTGGTAGTTGTAGCCGGTTTTGGCGTCGTTGTCGTGGTCGATGCCGCCTTGGGCTTTGGCTTGGGAGTGGTTGTGCTTGGTGTCGGTGGTGCACCAAAAGATGCCTCCAGGCCATCGCCCTCGGTCCTCACATTGCGCACCTTCACCGTCGGCTGTTTGGCCTTGGGCGACTTGACGCGCGCCAGATACTGATTGAGCGGTGAGCCCAGATACAGGTAGTCCTGGAACTCGAGGACATGCGAAAGTGCACCCACCGACTTGTCAAAGCCGTGCAGCGATCCCACAATATTGCCATTCCAGTCGACACGCACCACAGTGGTGCGCTTGGGCGACAGCAGAGTGATGCTCTCCATGTGACCCACAAAGTGAACGAAGCGCTGCGAGAACTTGTTCGGATAGACACTGTTCAGGTAGCGGAACGGCAGCTCGAAGAAGGCCAGCATGCGGGCCAGGAACAGGCGTACGCTGGGGAAGCGTGCAAAGATGTTAAAGCCACTGGGATGCTCGCTGTCCGCGCTGACCACCAACGGCACCCAAATGCCCTCGGCATCGGGCGTCAGATTATCGGGCAGGCCGGGCAGACCATCGACAAAGATCTCGCTCTGTCCGGCCTTGGCGCCCTGCAGATAATACTTGGTCAGGCGCATGCCGCCGGTCTCGGCCACCACAAGGAAATCCTCGTTGGGGCTCAACGCAATGCCATTGGCAAAGGCCAGCTCGTCCAGCAGCACTTCGCTCACATTCTTCGCGCGATTGTATTTGAACAGACTAAAAGAGAGAGACAGAGAGAGAGCGGAAGAGAGAGCAGAACCATTAGAAACCTGTTTGGGCAGCGGCTGCTACGTTCGTTTTGTCGCTGTGTGGCACTCACCGGCCCGAGGGATTGGCAAAGCTGGTAAAGACCAAATCTTCGATGGTAAAGTCGGACGAGGAGTCCGTCCAGAAGATGTCACCCTGCTTGCCAACGGCCACGCTGTTGAAAATCTTTGCTGGCCGCTTAACCTTGCCATCCAGCTCCTGTGCCGGCGACACCAGCAGAGTCTTCTTGCTTGTCGCCAGATCGACTTGCCAGATGCCGTAGTAGGCATCGGCCACGACCAGGTTATTGCCCTGCGTGTCAAAGGCAAGACCCAGCGGACGGCCGCAGCGCGACTCCTCATAGATGTCCTCTGCGAGGGGGAAAAAGGGCAATTAGCTGCAGGATCTTCCCCGTTTACTCCTCTGACATACCGCAGGGCTGTCCGATCTTGGCCACATGGGTGACATGGCTGGCAGTCAGCTTGATGATCTCACCGCCGTGAATGCCGGTATAGATCTCATTGTTGCGGGCTATAAGACATTCGGGGCCGTACACACGCCCCTCTAGCAGACGCTCAGCGCCTTCCAGGTGAAAGTTCGGCTCCAGCGCCCCCTTCAGTTCTTTGGGCGGGGTCACACTGCATCAATGGTGCGTAGTCACAGTCATTAGTTATAGATAGGCGCTCCCTAATCCCTCAACTTACGTAAATTCCTTGTAGGGGAAAGTTGTGCGAGGCGGCAGGTTGGGCAGGAGTATGACTATTAGGAAGAAAATCATGAAATTCATGATTCTCACACGCAAGGCACGTAGCAGGCCCATGGCTAGTTTTTTTGTGCGTCTTCCGATTCGAACTATAAATTAAATGAACGGCGTTAAAGGCAAGACACCTCGAAGAAAAAACGACACGATGGCAAAGTTCAACAAAAAAACACAAAAGCAAATTTATACCGTAAATATTTCGGGTTCAGTATATACTGACAGACACGACAAGCTGTGATGCATTGATATTCCTCGATTTTGATATTCGGTTTAATATTGCTAGATAACTTGCCCTCTCAACCCTAAGCAAATAATTTTATCCAATGCATCAATCAATTTTCTACAAGACTGGTTAATTTTTAGAACTCCTTTTAATTGGACTATGTACATAATAAGGTTCAAACCAACACAACATAAAACAAATGGGATGGTTGATGGCGCTGCCAGACTCGTGTATTTCGTAGTTGCTGCGGGCTGCCACACCATGATATTTTGTGACCCGTTTCATTACCGATTCGCTTTGAACTGATCTGGCAGCCCTAAAAAAAATCCGCAAAAAAGAAGAAGAAGTTAAATTTTCCGCAAAAGGAAGAAGAAAACCCCCTGCGGAAAATTTTTCCGCGGTTTTTTTTGTGCGCTAAATGGAGTTTGGCGGTCACTTTGAAAAGTATATTATTGATTAAAGAATATACCGTCAATATACTAACGGACATATTAATATTCCTCGATTTTCATATTCGGCTTAAAATTCCAAGGAAGCTAAGACTCTCAGCGCTGAACACATATTTTTCTAAGATTAATTAATCAATTTCCAAAAGGATTTGCTAATTTTAAGTTCTCATTTTCATTGGAATTATTCATAAATAAGATATAGATATTATAGACTTGAGATATTGTCTGTAATTTCAGGCTCCAATTAATGCAGAAACTACTCAGTCTCTGTTTTCAAGATATTAACGAAATTTGGCAGTTCACGGGTTCCAATAATAGGTATCAGAACCGGGCTAAATGTATATATAATAAACAAAACATATGCATTAATAGGTAAAAAACATCTCAATCTAAGAAAAATACAATATTAATGTTTCAAAGCAGCTTGGAACAACACATTTAACAGAAATGAAAGGAAATAGGGTATACAAAAGCCCATACGCATAAAAGAAACTCGGTTGACCAGCAACACTGATGTCACATTTAGTCAACATTTTCGTTTTATGCTTTGGCCGTTTTTGTTTGAACCTTATTATGTAAAAAAAGCAATAAACAGGAGTTTTATAAACTAGCTAATCTTGTAAAAACGGGATGTATCTATCGGATAAAATTATTTGCTTAGGGCTGAGTGGGCTAACTAACTAGTAATATTAAACCGAATATCAAAATTATGGAATACGATTTCAATCAATAAAATTGAACGTTAACCCATTGTCGTCCAGAGGGGTATTTAATATTTCCACGAAATTTATATAACTTTAACATATTTTACGCATTACAGGTGAAAGTATGTCGGTGGTCATTTTTGTTTTTTAAGTAAAGAGGAGAATGGAGCTACAAGGATCCTAAACAAAAAGTATTATTTTCCGCGGTTTAATAAAGGGTGCTCGACTTTTTAAATAAAGAGGTGTTAAAGGGGGCTAAGTCTCGTTTGATCGCCGCCCTGGTTTTCTGCCCTGGCTATGGAAATACAAATTTAAAAACAAAACAAGAAAATATCGACAGCGGACTCATCGTTGTGCGACCATCCAATCTCGCGGCAGCGATTAAATACCAAAAAAAAAAAAAGAAACGTCGCAGTTGAAAAAGAATTGAAAATGAGCGACAACACAGCCAAGGAGGAGACTTTCGGAATGGATCACGAGCAAGAGCTGAACATTAAGCAATACTCCCGCTGCAGCAGTGCGGGCAGCACCCACACACCAAACTCCTCGGCCCACAATTCGGGTTAGACATGCGTTCCTTTCGCTTCCGCGATGGGGGTGGGGAGCTGAGAGCAGATAATGCCTGGCATTGAATTTCCTCGGGGCTTCTCGCTATCAGCAACAGCAGCGGCATCAGCAGCAGTAGCGTTTTATTACACAGCCTTCTCACACTGTCTCCGTTTCTCGCCCCTGTCTACACATAGATGACGACGACGATAGCGGCGGCGATGCCAGACACTCGACGGCGGCCAATTCGACGCTTAGCTACAAGGAACGGAGGCGGGAGGCGCACACCCAGGCGGAGCAGAAGCGACGGGATGCCATCAAGAAGGGATACGACAGTCTGCAGGAGCTGGTGCCACGTTGCCAGCCCAACGACTCGTCAGGTTACAAGCTGAGCAAAGCGCTGATACTGCAAAAGTCCATCGAGTACATTGGCTATCTGAATCAGCAGAAAGTCAAGCAAGAGGACGAGGGTTCGGCCCTGCAGAAGGAGGTGACGGCACTGCGGATCATCAAGAATGGTTACGAGAACATGCTGCAGCATCAGCAGGCCAATCCGGGGCCGGAGGAGGCACGCCTCACAGATGAGGCCAAATTTCAAGTGGTTCGTATATCGTATAAATGAAAGAATATTCCGATTTTACACTAATTCTCTCGGTTCAGTTCCAGGCCATCTTGGAGGAAATGTTTGACACATTCCAGCACATACCGATGGACAATTTCAAGCAGCTGACCACCGGCATTATACCCTGGCTGGAGGAGCACTGCAAGCCGCACATTCTTCGCAATATTCTGAGTCGCACGTTGCAGCAGATGGCGCAGGACGCACACGAGAAGCAGCAGCAACAGCAGCAGCAGCAGGCCATGGAGCAGGAGACTGGCGAGGGTTTCAGTTGATTGCAGAAATAGTTTTTTTGTTTGCTTATGTTCGGTTTAAGATCTGTTTTGTTCATTAAATGCGTCATTTGAATAGTTGTAAAAGCGTTGCAAAGGAGAGACTAAACTAATCGCGACTAAATGATTACTTTTTGGCTTATACTCGTACTCGTACTCGTAGTGGATATCCAGATTAGATAGGGAGCGAGCTCTGTGCCGGTGTCTGCTCCAGCTCCAGCAGCAGCTGCCGCACCAGCGCCGCCTTATCCGCAGACTTAAGCAGCTCCAATAGCTCCAGCAGCACGTTCAGTGTAAATGGCTTGAAGCGACGCACTCGCTCGGTGACCTCCAGCGAGGTCACCAGATCGTCAAAGAACTTATCCAGCCGCTCACCGCTCCACACGTGACGTGCCTCGTGCTGCAGCTTGTGCACGCCCGCCGTCAGCGTGTACAGCAGTCCCTCGTAGAAGTTCTCCTTGTTGAGATGTGCCGCCAGCTTGGCGCTGGCCAGCAGCGCCGCCGGCAGATCGCTGCGGAACTCATGGGCACGCACAAAACAGGTGGCCGCCAGCTGACGCACTTGCTCGCACCTGTGCCGCAACAGGCGCCAACTGAGGCGACGAAAGCGTCGCAGTCTCGGGTCTACGTCTGTGCGGGCGCTGGTGCGCAGGTGCTCCACTTTGGAGAGGAATCCCAGGAAGAGTATAATGGAGGAAGTGACCACCTCGCGCCTATCGCAGCAGTCCAGCATGTGCTCGCAGGCTCTGGGCAGCAGGCAGGCCAGCTCGTCGTAGTTCAGCTCGCTGGGCTCCCAGGCGGGACGCGTCTCGAACTCTGTGGCCTGTCGCTGGCCCACCAGCTTGCCCAGACTCGCTCCGAACAGCTGCAGGGCCGCATTGGAGATGGTCCACTCGGCGTTGTCGATGTGCTCCATGGCCACCATCATAATCTCGTTGTAGTATTTGCTCATGGCCGGCCTCAGCTCCGTGTCGCGCACCAGAACGCACAGATAGTGCAGCACCAGGGCCTCCCAACGGTCGTGATTGCTGTCTGTGGCAGCAGCAGCAACCGTCGGACGACTCGCAGTCTCTCCAAGCCTCTGTAGTATCTGCTGCACGGCGCGGTGCAAGAGCAAACGCTGCCGCGGATCGTCGTTCTTCAGAACGTGCAGGAACATGATGGCAAAGCCGGCGCCACGCCGTGTGGTGCTCACCTGCCGGCTCTCGGCGAGCAGCTCCCGCTCGAGGCACTCGTGCAGCAGCTGGAATCCTTTATCCTCACTCTTCAGCGTGCTGGTTATGCCGCGGGTGAGTCTGCCAATGCTCAGGCCGCCAGACTCAATGGCGCCCTTGTGGCGGCAGCGGGTCAGCACGGCCACATTGATGTCCAGGCAACGGCGCAGCGCACCCCAATGGGGGGCCGCATCCGTTTGGAGCAGGGAGCAGCCCATGCTGGCGGCCAAGTCGCAGCAGCCCTTCAACGTCAGCCAGAAGCTCATCAGCAGGTACTTCCCGCAGGCCTCGGCATCCTCTTTGGCATCAAATGCGCTCTCGCTGACCAGCAGCTGAAGGCTCTCGTCCATGTCCTGGAAACTGGGTGCCGTGTCTGCCTCCCCCGCATGCTTTCTGGCATTGGACAGATTCAGAAACTTTAAGATGCCATTCAGAATGCGCTCGAGTAGCGGCAACAGATCCTCGATTCCAGACTCCTTGGCCACGCCGCCTCCTGCTTTGACCACCTCGTCCAGCGCACAGAGGTAGGGAAAGAGATTGCCTCCCGTCTTGGCAGTGAGCAGGGGATCTTTTAGGTAGATTTCCAGCTTTTCAGGCAATCGCTTAACGCACTCCGCGTACAGGCAGCTGGCTTCCTGTTGGCTTCTGACAGCCAGCTGGGCATACAGCGAGACGAGGGCACATTCATCCACATCGGAGCTGGAGCAAAGTGCCAGGCAACGGGTCACACAATGATCCGTGTTCACGTAACCCAATTGAATGATCAGCGAGACGGTCAGCTCCAGGGCATCGTCAAAGCCTTGGGGATTGTTCAGAGTTTCAAACAGCTGCTGGGCCACTACTTGGGGCTGGAAAACGTTGCGATCGAGCAGGAAGGCGCCCATTTGCTGATTCTGCTGTGTGCTGCACATTTTGGCATTCTTGGCCACATGGTCGGCGTACAATGATCTGTTGAGGATTTCCAGCAGCTTGAGGGCAAAGATTTTTGGCTGATAGACCTCGCTGTGGATGTCCCGATCGATCAGCTCCTGCAGCTGCGAAAAGAAGCGCTTTATATTCTGCGCCAGGCCATCCACTCTCACGCCGTTGTCCACCTTGATCACCTTGTGGAAGTGCTTGGCCGTGTGGTTAATGATGGTGGGCATCTTGCCCAGTATTGTGTTGCGGAACTCGGAGCTTTCCACGCCCCGATGGCGTTCGATGAAGCTGTAGAAGAACTCCAGGCAGTCCTCGACCGCAAAGTTGGGCAGATTCTCGACTAGAAACCGAAATACCAGCAGCTGGGCCTCCGTCTCGAACTGGCTGCAGTTGGTCAGCAGTTCGGTGCTAATCTTGAAAAAATGCAACTTGGAGGTGGCGTAAATCTCCTTCGCGAACATACTGAAGATGAGTATCAGGCGCAGTTGGTCGTTGGGCGAGCGCACATCCTCGGAGCAGGCCAGAAATTCCACAATCTGCGGATTAAATTGTAGCAGCTCGAAGAGATCGTTGCGCTGCTGGATGCGCAGGAACCACTGCGAGTGAAAGTTCTGTATCTCGGCCACGCTGCCATTGACCAGCAGCTCCACACTGCCGGCCAGCAAGACGGGGGATCGCTGATTGCTCAGACTCTTCACCGGATACTGGCTGGCCGCCCGCAGACCCTTGTAGCTCAGGCTGAGCCGCAACCCACTGAAGAACTCCGACTCGCTTTGGTTGCTCGCAGCCAGCAGGTCCGGCAGGGAGTGCCAGTTGAGTATGCCACTCAGTAGGTAATATTTATTGCGGTTCGTCCACGGCCAGAACTGCATGATCAGGCGGAAGTAGGAGAAGGCTCGCTTCTCCTGCTTGCAGCAGTGATTGAACAGCGTCAGGGCCTCCTCGCGCGATCCCGTCTGGCTCTGACGCTGCAGGCAGTGATAAAAGTGCTCCAGTTTCAGCGGCAGCAGCTGCAGCTGCGGGAACTTCTTCACCAGGAGATTGGTGGCCTTCAGCACGGGTATCAGACTGAGGTTGTTCTGTGCCAGGGCAGCCAGTATGGCTGCTATGCACCTCTCCTCCAGCAGATCCGCATCCAGCCGCTTCCAGTGCTCGGTGAGCAGCACGGACTGCAGCATCAGGAATGCGATTGGCTCCTCGCAGGTCAGTCGCTGCGGCAAGTCAGCAAAGTGCTCATCCTTGAGGGCGTATTTGTCCAGAATGTGGTAGTACACACGAAAATTGATATTCAGGGCGGCTTGGTTTGCACCGCACGTGTCACCCTGCGCAGCATCAACAACCTCTGCAATTTTCTGTGCCAATTGGCTGGCCGCCTCTTCGGGCGGGACATCGCCGAGAGTCTGTGGAGTGTTAGAAACCATTTAGATTCGCTCGTTACAGACATCAGTACCCACCTTTAAGTAGGACAGACAGTCGCTGTGGCTAATTTGCGGTTTTTTCCCGGCGGACATGCCCAAAAATCTGTTATTTCTGGGGGCTACATTTAATGTGACCGCGGATTTATCGGTCTAATATACCCCGACTGACCTTCATTAATATACTGAAAATATACCTTCTCAAAATATACCTGCTTAGTATTGAATCATAATTTTAGAAACAATCCCATGAAAAGGAGTAATAACAACTAGCCGATCTTGTAGAAAAATTATTAATTCATTGGATAAATGTTATATTAAAATCAAGGAATATGTTTTCCGACCATGGACAGTGAACGATTAGCCCATTGTCAGCCTAACCACAGGTTAAATACACAAAAGAATATTATGAAACTTTAACGTAGTTTGGGTGCAATAGGATAGGATGGATTTACAAGACGAATTTACAAAAAAGTGTTATCTTGCTCGTATTAACTCTACCAGTTTTAGCAGATGTGTGTTAAGTGGGTTAATTTAGTATTTGCATCGGTTTAATTTGAAAATGCAAGTGTATATTTCAGTATATTTCCGAGGGTCAGTCACACTGATACACACTTCAAAGATGGCGAACGATACGAGCAAGCTACTGTTGTCTTCACAACAAGAAAAACCCAATCATTATACGTAAATAAACCATCCAATTATCCTCAAAGTGTTCAGATTGAGCTAAGCAATTGTTCTACTTGTGCAGCTACCTGAAGGAATTTCGCGTGGAGCAGTGCCAGTCGTTCTTGCAGCACAAATGCAATCAGCATCGTCCGTTCATATGTTTTAATTGGCATTTTCAAAATCAGCGGCGTCGGCGACCTGTCCGTAAACGCGATGGCACCTTCAACTACAGTGCGGATAATTATTGCACCAAATACGATGAGACCACAGGCATCTGTCCCGAAGGCGATGAGTGAGTATCCTGGGCTTTAGCTTTACAAATTGCGTCGCCTCTGAGAATCTGGGGATGAGACAACGCCAGCGAAACGACGTAGTATTTTTTCGTTTTCTCTTTGTGCTTCTTTCGTGTGTGTGTATCTCTTGTCTTCGTGTTTACAAACAAAAAGTTGGGTGCGGGTGTGTGGGGGGAGTGTAGCGTCTAGCAAAAAGTGAAATTCAAATGCGCGTGTGTGTGTATCTGTGCGAGAGAGACAGTGTGAGCGTGTGTGTGTGAGTAGGGTAGGCGTAACCTACGACGAGGCCACTGTCGCCCACAAAAGTGAAAGTGATTTCAGCGAATTGTGCGAGCAAAAGGGGAAGTTCTAATCCGCCTGTGGGCCGTCTCTCCGCCGGATGCTGCTGCCTTGGACTTGGTGGTGGTGTTGGCAAGGCATATTTTGTGGATGGTGAAGTATGTTTGTGCGCGGGAGAGCGTGACTTTGGTCTGGCATACCTCAGTTGTAATATATCTTGTGTGGTGGTTGTTGCTCCGAAACTCACACAGACGCATTAACACTCACGCACACACATGCAGACAACTGCTACAAGTGTGCGTCATTGTTGTTATTGCGTTTCGCTTTTGCGTGTTTTCTTCGTTTTATTTTGATTTTCCCCGGCAGCTTCAAAATGTACAGTTATTGTGTGGGCGAAGCTTTGAGAGCGAGACAGCATATGCGTTGGGCCAAAGGTGCATTTTCCCTACCCTGTATTCATACACTTTGCCAAAAAATTATACTACGCAATTTGAATTTCTGCGCACAACAAATACAAACCCATTGTGACCCAGACTTGAAATGGGTGCGCTTTCTCCTGTGCCCTCGCCAAGGAGGGGAAACAGCTGCGTGGCTATTTTTAGCCCTGCCCCGAGCCCTGAGCGTACGTCACTAAATTCCCCTCTCGTATCCACAGATGCCCCTTCCTGCACCGCACCGCTGGCGATACCGAGCGGCGCTACCACTTGCGTTACTACAAGACATGTATGTGTGTCCATGACACGGACAGCCGGGGCTACTGCGTCAAGAATGGCCTACACTGCGCCTTCGCCCATGGAATGCAGGATCAGCGGCCACCCGTGTACGACATCAAGGAGCTGGAGACCTTGCAGAATGCGGAAATCACCCTGGACAGCACCAATGCCCTGAATGCCCTGGACAAGGAGCGCAATCTGATGAACGAGGATCCCAAGTGGCAGGACACCAACTATGTGCTGGCCAACTACAAGACGGAGCCGTGCAAGCGTCCGCCACGTCTGTGCCGACAGGGCTATGCCTGTCCACAGTACCACAACAGCAAGGACAAGCGTCGATCGCCCAGGAAGTTCAAATACAGGTGGGACAGCCAGTGCCGGAGTAACATTCAAGTTTCATCCTTAACTTATTTAACTTGCTATTTGTGCAGGTCGACACCTTGCCCCAATGTGAAGCACGGCGAGGAATGGGGAGAGCCGGGCAATTGCGAGGCCGGCGACAATTGCCAGTACTGTCACACACGCACTGAACAGCAGTTCCATCCGGAGATATACAAGTCCACCAAATGCAACGATGTCCAACAGGCCGGTTACTGTCCACGCAGCGTATTCTGCGCCTTTGCCCATGTAGAACGTAAGTTGCGATCCTCAATGGCATTTCTGTAGTTTCCTAAGCTTTCGGCGCTGTACTCCACAACCAGATTCTGTAGGGCCTGTAGCCTAGGGATGATATATTTTGATACCTTTGAATTAACGTTTTGTTTGTCTTTTACTTGCTTCGCACCATGAATCCAAACCAAAAAAAAAACTATCTCTAAACTACTGCTCAAAACAAAAACCAAAACGAAAAAAACCCTCAAAATATCAATGCATCAATCAATATTCGCTTTGCCGCTCTGCTGCTCCGTGTCGCTTCTCCATAACTCCACCTCCCACCCCGAAACAAGTTTGTGTAATGGCCGATGAGAAGACGTGGGAACACGAACTGTCGCTTCGTGACCTCATTTCCAACGCCTTGCCCGACTTACAGCCACGGGATGTGCACCATTTGGGCGATAATGTACGTATTACCAGTAACCAGTTAACCAACCAGTAACCAGTAAAAAAAAAAAAACAAAATCCATTCATGCATATCCTGTGTATCTATGTGTATAAAAATCGTCTAATCCTCCCATACTACCCAACATTACCAAAAACAACATTAAACAGCCGCGCTAATCCAGCTAACGATCATCAAGCCTAATTGTTTAACCAATCAATTCCCACAGAAACCTTTGGCGTGCTCTCATTGTTCTCCTCGATTTTTTTCTCTCTTTGTTTCGTTCTCTTCGTAGTTGTTGAACATTGAACATGGTAATAGTACCAATAGAATGTTGGTAGATGCTTTGGAAAATACAAGAAATTCCAGCAAATTATTAAATTTCTCACGACCCCTGGACAGTCGTTGTGAGTATTTTGGGTGAACCTGAAACCTATAAGAAATATGTACATATATATCTATATTCAAGAATTTTCCCAATTCTAAATGTTGGTTGTGGACAAAATGTCAGAGCTAAAGCAGCAAATTCAATCCAATCCGCCTTATTCAACTAACTGAAATTCAAATTTAAATGTATGTATCTACTATCTTCACTCTTTGCAAGTAGCTTGCTCACTGGACGATCCGCGCGAGAACTCACTGTCGTCGAGTCTGGCCAATACTAGCTTATTAACACGTTCCTCGGCGCCAATTAACATTCCTAATACGACACTAAGTAACTCAATTAATGGTAAGTGTAACAATCCAAGTCGGCATATGTACGTGTCAAATGTCTAATAACTAAATAAATGGATTTGTTTTTATTCGATTTGAACAGATTTCAACTCGGGTGGCTTTGCCGTCAACATTCCCAGCAGCTCGCTCACCTACAGTCCAACCAATCACGCCAATCTCTTCGCCATGGATGCATTCAACTACGGCGGATCGAACAAACTGAGCAATTCGCTCTCGGCTGCCACACAGAACGACAACAGCCTCTTCTTTCCATCGCGCATCATGTCTCCTGGCTTTGGCGACGGCTTGTCCATTAGTCCATCGGTCAGAATATCCGAACTGAATACCATACGTGATGACATCAATAGCAGCTCGGTGGGCAACAGCTTGTTTGAGAATACCTTGAATACGGCCAAGAACGCGTTCAGCTTGCAATCGCTGCAGTCGCAGAACAACAGCGGCTTCACCAACGATTTGCTCACGAAGACCGCCCAGATCCACAAGCTGAGCAACCGATATGACGATGTGGTCTGTAAATTGAAGATTGCCGAACTGCACCGCGACAAGGCCAAGCAGGAGGCCCTGGAGTGGAAGGAGCGTTACGACCTGGCTCAAATACAGCTCAACTTGCCGGCAGAGCTGCGAGACTTGTCCATTCAGAAACTGAAGCAATTGCAGGTGATTTATTCGACTCTGATATCTGCCCCCTTGTGAATGATTCACTGACTCAACCACGATCTTCTTTCAGTCAAAGCTGCGCACCGATTTGGAGGAGGTCGACAAAGTATTATATTTAGAGAATGCAAAGAAGTGCATGAAGTGCGAGGAGAACAATCGCACCGTCACCCTAGAGCCGTGCAATCACTTGTCCATTTGCAATACATGCGCTGGCTCGGTCACCGAGTGCCCCTACTGCCAGGTGCCGGTAATGACAACACACACCTAGAACATGTTCAATCAGCAACAGGGGGGCGGCCACAACTGGCCCTTTGGCTGAGCGATCGGATATTAAGATGCGCGCGAACAGCATGACAATGTGCATGACACACAAAAGTAAACTTTAGTTGTAAGCGAAATGCTGAAGCTTCAGCATTTTCTATGAGTTATATACTTCAGCTCTATGCAAACATTAATCATGAATATTAGCAATTACTAGGCACAAACTATTAATTGAATTAGGTAGCAGCTCTAAAAATTAAGTTATATATTTTACTTTGTGGTATTTTACTATTTTAATATGTATTTTTTTTATTATTTTTTTTTTTTGCTTAACGACTACAGGAATTTTTTGAAAAAGGTTTTCAATTTGAATCTTATATAATCATATATATATTTTTTTGTTTTATTTCTAGACACTTTTTCGTTGTATTCAATCCACTGCACGAATTTGCAATATATCTCATTTAATTTTTACATTGTATATTTACTCGTCTATCTATC